GGGTCATGTAGCTGAGAAGAGCGAAGTTCATGTTCCTGGTGAAACCCCTTTGACTGGGTATTCAAATTCTTTGGATGAGCTTGCGGAAGATGCGCCTGTGTTTGAGGCAAATGAAGAGCGAGAAGTATTCAGAAAGGGTGTAGAGACATCAATCGAAGATGAGCACGATGGATATGTAGTCTCACCAATCGAGGAACAGGGAGAAGAAAGATGGCCGGAGGTGGAAGGGCAGAAGGCAGGAAGACCAATATCTGGTAATATCCCCTTGATTTTTCAGTGGGAGAAAAGAGCAGAACAGAAAAGAGATTCGACAACTGGTACGATTGGACAGACAATGTAGGTTGGGGATTTCTTTGCGCTAGACACATACAAGAAGAGAAACAGGTCAACGGAATGTAGACATTACTTTCGATAGATAAACATATCATAGCTAGCGAAGTTCATCAAAACGCAGATTCCTATTAAGCAACGCTCATAGGGAAACATGTCTTATTATACCGTAAGAATCATAATGACAAACATAATACCCCATATCAAACATACAAACCCCACCCATCCCCTCCCTCACCTTGAGCCACTCATAAAATCTAACATCTAAAAGCTTGATTGAGCGAATTATCAATAACGATATCTCTTCTATATTGATATCAATAAATATCTACAACCACAAATATAAATTTCCCTGTTAAGGTTATCGCTAATTACTACACCGGTGCACTCTTTGTGACAATACAATACATTTCTCAGTTTTTGAATCCTGGAGCAAGCTGTAAGTAACATAAAGACTAAAGCAAAGTAAACAGTTTCGTGGGGACTGCAGTATGATGTATTTAATAATCTAGAATGGTACTCGGATCTACTTTTCATATAAGCAATGGATTATTTTGATCGGATAAGTATGTGGTGGTAGTAGTTGAAGCCGCAGGTTGGCTCGCTTTCAGTTCTTCAAGACTCTAGCTCAAGGTAACTGACAGTTGGGGATGCGATTGTATTCAATCTATTGATATTCAATCACACCTCAATACGATTCTCACCTCCAAATCCGCATGCTCATGAGCCAAGTATAGATCTTGACACGGAATCTAAGGAATTCAATCCAGCCAATATATCAGGTGTATTCCAAATAGATAGTATACACTGTGAGAATTGCAACCTACAGTGGTTCTTCTGCTCTCAAACTCGGAGCACAGCTCACTTACACGAAGACATAGATTTTGCATTGAAAACTTTCGCCGCGTTTACACCTTTTAGGGGCTGTAATAGCATTTGCTTCTGCCAGCCCCTCCTCGTATCAAATATGGCTTATTCTTCTACTTCCACTGTACGTTCCATTGGAATTTTCTCGACGCCAGCGCTCACTATATCTAGTACCTCGATATCTGTATGTTAGACTGCAATACAGCAACATCATGTCCGGCAGACTTGGTTTTTAAAGTTGAGGTTATTGGAGATCTTACCTCTCCAGGCGTCCGGTCGTAAAGTTGTCGCTTGTGCCGATTGGAGGAACGCCACGAACTTGGAGCATTGCGATTGGGATGCATATTTCGTGAAAATCAGTGCTCCTATGTGGGAATCAGATACTATCATCAAGAGCCTCAGAACACCAAGTCTACTATTTAAAGCCCTTGATAGACAAGGAGCTAACCACGCACAAGCACTCATATAAGTGACATGGTGTAGTGAAGTTCCATTTGAGGAAATGGTACCTTAGCAACCTATAGTCGCTAAGTTACAAGCCTAGCGCTGTAATAACCTCATCCTCGCACATCCTCGCTTGTACACTCAATAGCTATCCTACTAAAGTTGAGGTTTGAACGAACTTCTTCACCTCCTCAAATGCAACTTCCGAAGACGATACTTGAGCTTCTTGCCTGTTTTCTCCTGTTTCTAACGTCAAGTTAATACATCGTCATTCCGCTTTTCCGTCACGGTACACTCTAAGTGAAGAACACCAGAGACTTCGTCGCTTTTGTCGGGCAACTAATGGCTTATGTCAAGGCAATCGATAGGTGGGATCGCGGATGGAAGTCGAGGTTACTTCTAGGTAGTGTTGGATACAACTAACCTGACTGGAAGATTATGTCGGGCAATTAAGTACTAAATCCAGTTGCACAATTGCCGGCTCTTTTACAAGAACCTGGCAATGAAGCCGATGTGCAGTATACTCCGTATGTGGGTAAATTTCTTGGACTGTGGGGGCCTCATGATCAGTAAGTATAGATGCATTCCAGAGTGTGAGGTAAAGTATTACGCCAGGCTCGTTGGAGCTGTCCCAACAGTCTGTAGACCGCGCAAAAACACCTCGTTTCGCGACGGATGCTCACACCGTGAATACATACATATTAGATACATCAAACAATGTAGAAATTATGCCTGATTCGATACATCTCTAAGAGGAGTCGGTCCATTCGTATTCTGTGCTCTTCTGCTCGCTTGACGATATCTATTGTGTTTCCGTTCTTTCTTGATATCCAGTCCCATAACCCTTTGCACTGCGGCATGTTTCGGCGGAACAGGTGGGTGTTTCCTTGTTGCCCACGGTATTATATCTACAAAGGATTGTCTATGCTGCGGATCCATCATATCAAACCTAATGCATTTCTCTTCCAGCTCTCCTTTCAGTTTTGCATAGATGTATAGATAGCGACCCCGTGGAATGATAGAATACGTTACTCGAATTTCGAGGTTGGCGGATCGTCGTCGTTTTGATGGCTGTGAATGAATGATTGTTAGAATGAAGATTCTGAAGAAGATACTATGCAAAGAAGTGGAGCGAAATATTTATACTGAACAGTTTGACTACTAACCTCGACCATCAAACACCACATCGCCTTGTGAGCCGCATCGTACCAATGATCATCGGTTGTGCGAAACACATATTTGAAAATAGTCATTGCTGCATAACGATAGAATACATGTTCCATATCGATTCCAAGCCTTCGTAAATAGCCAAGATTTGCTAGCATCGCCCCCAAAAATTTTGCCTGTTTACAGTCCTTATCGTTCAATCCCATCTCTCGCCTTAAATCTCGACGGCTAGGCCATGACATGACTGAAGGAGAGCAAGGGTCAGGCGCAGCACAGCACAGCACAAAGCCGATTACCTTGTTGAATGTATCTCTATTGCTTGCAGAATTACAGTGCAGCGTTGAGCGACGAAGAAGGCAGAATGAAATGAGTATATTAGTGAGATGCGATGTAATACGACACGGCAAATGGAATGGGTAATGTTAACTGCCTGAAGCTGTTGCTATAGACATCAGAGTGAAGAGAATATCGCCGAGAGTAGAATAAAGTTGATACTATCACTGTATCAAGTTTTCTTCGTTATAGTTGTCGTGCGCGTGTGTACTTGTGTCGTATAGGACGTGTTGTTTGGAGCTTTTGTTGTTGAGACAACAGAAAATAGAGGGTGGGTTTAAGAGAAAGCATGTGGTTTGATAACACTAAGATTAAGCTGAGCTGGAGCGGCATATGACTTGATAAACTCACCCCTTCTACATTTCTACTCTGTACGGTGGTTGAAAGGGTCAGTATGTTACGAGGGTAGCCGTCTAGATCACGTGGAAGTGCTCTAGGCTCTCGAGGTAGATTTATAACTAGGCGTCAAGCAGGGACTTAAAGTAATGACAATAATGCAATTCGTAAATAATAGTAGAGTATACTAAATGATTGATCTTGAGCACGAAGCTCTATACAAAGGAAATCCATCTTGATTATATAGACCTTCATGCCTATGGCTAGTCAGGACCGCTGCGCGGTCCTGGACAGCCAGCGTTCCTCAGCGGTCCATAACGTGACTTAATCACGTTAGCTTGGTTTAGTCATGTGACGCGGTGTGGAAGATAGCCGTCGTAACATTATATAATCTTAATCATAAGTAATCCCAGCGGGATCTTGGTTTACTCTATTGATTCAATAAGTTGAAGGTTTTGGTATACTGTTCAAAGGATAAGTGAAGATGATTGAGCACCGGGATCCCCGTGAGGAGATTTACGATCCCGGGACTTCAAGGTGTGCGTAGTCCCAATGTAATTATCCCTTGTGAATTATGAAAAGAGAAAACGTTTATATTTTCGCTACCGCGAATGCGGGGAAATGAGCGCGGGGAAGGTGCATAGAAAGGTGGAGACAACGGAGTCGAGGGGAAAATAAATTTAAGCATGTACCGCCGTTATAGTATTCTCCTTAATTTTACCGAAGTTTTTATACGGGTACTCCTACTTCTCTACGTTCACATTTCCTTCTTCAGACTCCTTTAGAGGTTTAAAGGTGCCAAAATGCAAAAACTGCAAAAACGGTGCTCACAAAAAACACATACAACAGTGGGGATTCGCTGGTGGTCACCCACCCAACTACTAATCCACCGATCTGAAGCTTGTGTATGGCAGAGCGGACGGGATGCCCAATTCTCTTCAGTCTATGGTCGTATGTGCCAGAAAGTATACTTTTAAAGATTATATTAGTTAAAAGTCAGCGGTGATTGAGTGGAGGAATATGAAACTCCATATGGGGCGCTCATGCTGGACTTCTTTGAAGAATAACATCCGGGAGAGATCCTGCAGTTGCTTTATTGCTATCTCTCTCTTCGGATAAGTTATAAGTTTAGTGTTCACAATCCACCGACTTGATCATTGTGTTCTCTCTCGTGAACCTAGTTAGGTTCTGCACTTTTCTCGCGTGCCCATAAGTGGTTGTTGCCGGACTTGCGTATACTCCCACAACTCGCGTGCCTTCTGCCAAGGGTAAGTGAAGCTCGATTGGGATACCTATGTATTGGAACTATCCACTCAAGTGAAGCGAGCCGCGTGGTATATAAGTCTTACAATCTAGCTTTTCTTTGTGCTTCCCGACAAAATTATCTACTGGACTGATGAGCTGAGCAGTGAAGCTAGGTGTCTGCTGGAAAGGCTCGCTTCATAGTCAACCATCCACTTTCTACACCTCCGTTGCTAACCACCTATATGTAAGTAGGACATCCTCCAGTATAATTTATCTGCCCCATATCACCTCAATCTAGCACCACCCCTATATTTCCCTATGTTACAACCATCGATCCATATATAGTCCAACAAAACCCGTATGTATGCGTTTCATAGTTCTGAAAGGGATTCAAATACCTGAATGAAATTGACGTATTCATCCCCTAAGCGTATTCCTAACATTGAAATCACATCCCCCAATAGGTACATAAAGATTGAATAATCATATCATTCAAGAAAATATCGAGCACTAATAACACTATCCGATAGCATTGCTTATCATGATCCGAGGAAACAAGATCAGGCTAATACTGGCCATGTGAATTTCTATCAACATGTGGGACCAACGATGCCATCCCTATTGAATATTGAGGAATAAAGATCAAAATCAGTAGACACTTAGGGAGACTGTCTCGTTCCTTTGTGGATTTTTGGACTATACCGACATACTAAAGAGGTACCAAATGTTGCGAATTAAGAGGTTTAGCTGGAACGCGATGTCTTGTTGTATTCTACCGACAAAAGGCTTCTGACTCCTTGTTGAGCGGATAATTGCTATGACCCATTGGAAAGAATTTTGAGTGCGGGAAGAGCACCTCGAAAGAGCACCCGCCCAGTGTAAAGAACTTGCTCAGTTTTTGGTGTTTAATTGGAACTTGTACATGTGAGTGTCAAAATGACACAAGTGGCCATCATACCTCTTTGGCATTCATATTGCAGGCTACAATAGAAACGGCGAAGATACCTGAAATTGCAAGGAAATCTTTCATAACGAACAGGCTATTGGCGTGCCTGTCCATTGAAATGAGGGCAAGAAGCTCTTGACTACTGATCATATCACAGTCACATGCACAAATAGACATATATTATTAGGCAGCGATCACTACAGATCCGACCCCGGAGCTTGACAACAAGACAGAGTTATAATCCGGGTGAAGCAATGCTCTGCATGTAACGATTCCTAACGGCAGTATTTTATTCTCACATAGACTTCTCCCATCTGCTCCCAGAATCAACCATCCACAGCTGCTGGTTGTTGATATCTTGGTCATGTCGTCCCCCACCTTCTTCTTAAGTAATGTGGGTCTTTTGACATGTTGGGTTTATAGAATGGAATAAGTGCGCTGGTCACCATCAAATATCCCTCGTGGCGCAATTGGCTAGCGCGTTCGACTGTTACTTGAAGCAAATCAAGCTTGCAGATAAATCGAGAGGTTCGTGGTTCGACCCCACGCGAGGGAGATATGCTTTTTGCTTTTTGCTTTTGTGGCTCTTGGTCGACTTCAGACAGAAAAAAGCACCTTGATTGACCAAAGGATGCATAAGGATTACTATTTCCATAGATAGGGCTGCTATCTTGTTCGTTCGTGCAGGATCGTGGTCTAGAACGGTAAAAGCCGCAGAGGGGTAGGGGAAAAGGGTGTGCATGCTGAAAGCCTTCGTGGGAATCGCGGTGTTAGCTGGGACGGCTTTTTTCTTGGGCAACATCGAAAATCGGCCACTTCACATCATGTAGGTATTCTGCCTCCATGCTCGAATAGATATGCGGCCTGTCTTTTGCCTCCTATGATGTTCTATTCATAGCCAAAACGTAGGTTCAAGAATCGGAATCGGAATCATCCCTACGCTCTGCTGTCCGATTTCCCTGTGCCTGTCCATGATTTTGTTGTTGTGCGCTACCCGCGATCGTTTCCTCTCCTAAAACTTTGCTTGCCGCCATGAATCTATCGAGAGAATCATTAGATACTTTGTTTTCCAGGGGATTTCTGTTCGAATTCAAAAAGGAGACTTACAGTCCTCCGTGAAAAGCACCCAAGCCTCTTATTGACTCAGCTTGTATACTAGTATTTCGGAGAAGGTTCTCAAGATCTCCAAGATTGGCCGAGAGTTGTGCGAGTTGTGCGTGCAGGTGGGACTGGAAAAATTAGTCAGGATTGCTGATTGCGGCGTTGAAGTTCAGAAATGAAAAGATATTTTTGAATGTCATACCAGTTGTCGAGGCTTGGTGCTACTACTTGGTGCAGTCGAGAGACGTGGTGCGTTGCCGCCAGGGAGTCGGGACGTCATGGTTGTAGGATTGAGTGTGTAAGATCGGGAATTGGCCTATGAAGACGGGAAGTTCGAAATAGAATGATAAGCTTAAAAACTAGGTGTTTTAGCGTGTAGTTGTGTGGAAAACGGCCTGTTGAAGTGTGAAAGTCGACAGATGGAGGGGTAGATATTGAAGGCAGGAGGAGAGATGATCTAAGTTGCTACAACACTCTTTGCGCAATGATTGTAGATACTATGTAGCTTTAATTCTGAAAATGACAAGAGTACTGTCGTTGCTTTCCTGAGCTTTCAAATTATGTAAAATTTTTACTTCGTGTAGTGTTATGTTGCTGTGTTGTAAATCGCGTTTGTTGCGAGGTGATCTAGACTAGTAAATAAGAATGTTGCGCACGGGCCATGCTTAACTTAATATACAAACATTTTTTTACATCTTCTCCTGCACTTCTATGGCACCTTCGACAGTGTGAAAATGAACATTCAATTGATCGATCTTTTCTTCCTTACTGGTGTATCTACCATTCTTAACATAGATTCATTCTAAGGAGGTCAATGCATTAATATTAATTTGATTTCTTAGCTAGCTTGCGGATTACCATTCAACACAATGTATCGCCGTCTAGCTAATGGAATGCTAACCTCGGACTCGTATGTATTGGATTAATATTCCACTTATCAAGGCAATAGACGCTCAACATACTGCCTGACAACGCCATCAAACCCATGACCCGTAGTCCAATCTTGCTCAATGACATGAGGATCGGGATTTTCTTCACCCTCCAGCTTGTCGTAGCAAAAAACGGCTGTGATTTTGGAAGTGCCAAATGTCACTTGAAACGACGGGGTGTCTCGCGCGTACCAGTGTACCATGAAGTTTACTACCTGGCGAAATGTTGATAAAGCTCCCAATGCTTGACAACTCTTCTGGAATAAAAATACCCGGCAATTTGGCCCAGGCAAAGGCATGAAAGAAGCTTGATCTGTATGCTCCAAATGCCATTCATTTCCCACAAAAACAACCTTAATATCATCTTTGATGGTGGCAGTGGCCAAGGAAAAGAGGCCGAGGTAGGTAGACAACCTCATGGATTGCGGAGTAAGGAGGTGTATCGCATCGTAGTCAGCGTTGAAGTATATGCGAGCATGTGACGGCTCGGCGGCGAAGCAAAGCTTATAAAATCTTAGAGTTTCATCTCGGAATTCTTTGCAGATTTGCAAGCCTATAGGAAGGGTAGCATTGCTCATGAAATTTTCTCCTCTAAGAGAGATGTCGACTAATCGAGGTCCAGGAAGTGATAACCTCCATATTTTGCGACGAAGCTCGAGCGGAAATCTTGGGAAGGGATAGAAGGTGGGTCCCGTCGCTCCTGATGCCATTTCGTTGTTCGTAGTATGGTAAATCTTTTGTCGAGTAAGTCAGGTTGAGGGTCAAAATGTATTCTTTTATCGTGACGACCTTCGGAAAGAGTCAGGGTCGTGCTATACGAGAATGGGCCTAAAGATTCGCTTTGAGTAAATAGTGAATTACCATCCGAATTGGTGCTGTAAGATTGCATCAATTCACTTGTTTTTGATTCTAGTCAACCAAGCAGAGCTCTAGTAAGCGTTTCTTTTGTGAATATATCAGTCAATATTTTTAGTCTCAGATATCGAGGATGCTGTCATCTTCTGCATTACTATATACCTGTTCTCCGTCCTGCACCATATTCCCTTTCTCATCAGTATTAGATCTAGGTCTATCAAAATACCAACACCGCGCGTCACTCTTCTTTCCTTCATCTATTCTTCTAGAATAGTACTACCAATATTGCAAAATCATTAGTTTTCATCAAATCTATGATACAAAAATCCTCGTAGAACTTACCTTTTCAAGAAGCTCTCCTTTTCTTGCCCCCGCTTTCATTGCTATTCTCTCGCTTGCTTTATTCCTAGGATCAACTTTCGCGACGAGGTGGGGAATGTGAGATCTTTCTATTTTGAAGATTGTATTAGTTTATCCTATATTTTACCCTTGTATTTGTCTTCTCTTTCGCTTTGGTGGTATTTTCTTTGGATTTGAATGTTACCCTCGCTATGGAAAGGGATGGTAATCGAATGTCAAGAGGAAGAAGCGAAAACATACCTTCCATCCCCCAAAATGTCCTCAGAAACTCCGTTAAACCCCATGTAGCATATCCATTACCCCAGTAGTTGGGGTTTACCATATAGCCTAATTCAAGACCTTGGGGTGAATGGCGGTTGGTTCCAACCATTCCTACACATTTAGACGGTTCTAGAAGTTCTTAGTTAGTATAGGAATGAAATGATGGAAAGAGAGAACATCAAATCGAAGAAAATAAGGTATGGAGTAGCGACGATACGCAGTAGGAAGTAAAGAGCCACTATAAGTCAATTTTAACTCAACGAGCTCGAAAGCGTTGAAGGCCATCATTTCAGGAGTCCATAGTCAAATGAAAGTCCAAACTTCTTGCATCAGTCTGACTATAGAGCTGGCATGCTTACGCCATCATTACTAAGGTGTAAATGCTCCCTCATATTCTTCATACTTGAGAATTGACTTCTTCTCTATACACAATCTAGACTCTCAATGCTGTGCAGGAGATTTCATCTACCTTTAAGCAGCGCACTAGCGAGTCACAAACTAAACCACCCAAAAACTTCCAGGTGACTTTCCTGCTCACTCCTCATGCAACGTGCAAACCATCCAACCACCCCAGAGCCATCATTCTTTCTTCCCAAATCCCCTTTCCTCTTTCCACCCAGCAATCTTGACTTAACTCATTCCTCCCCCACAAAAAAGAAAGTCACAAACTCCCAAAATACCGAAATGAAAAATACTCACTACCCTCCCCATCTCCCTCTCCATCCCCCTCCACTTTCAAAACAATAGCAAACTTAACACTCTCCTCCGTCTCTCCCTCAGGATTATCTTTCGTCTTCGGTAAGATAAATTTCATAAGTTTTAGCGCTTCTTCTCTTGTTTCTTGAGTACCTTTTGTTCTTTGGAGTTTTGTTAGTTTGCGATATAGATATATATCTAAATTATAGAAAGGTCGAAGAGAGTGCGGAAGCGGGGAGAAAAGAGGAGAGGAGAGGTAGAAGAATGATGGGAGGGAGGGGAATAGGAATTAGGAGAAAGAGGGAGAGAGTGGGAGAGGAGGAAAGGTGATGAGGGATTGTTAGAGGAGAGGAAAAGGAAAGAAAAACAACATACGACCAAACAACCCCTCGTTCCTCTTTCCAAAATTCCCAAAAATCATCTAGATGTTCTTTTATGCTTAATTCTACTAATTGTAATGATTGATTCTTGGCGGATTTTTGAATTTGAATTTGAGTTTTAGTTTGAGATTGGAACTGGGTGTTGATATTATTACACTCCATATTGTAAATAGGTAGGTAGGTAGGTAGGTAGTTAGGTAGGAAGGTAGGTTTTATCAACAAATAACTCGATAAAAATAATTGAAGTAGAGATCTTAGTGTAGGGTTTTAGAAGTTAAAGTTAAATCAGTAATTCATGTAAAATCTAATATATTATTAGAGAAATGAACAACAGACAGAGGAGGGAAGATGAAGGGGACGTTTATGTATGTATATATATATAGTAATATCTAGGATTAAGATTAAGATTATGATGATAAGTACCAACTACCTAGTACCTAAGTACAAATAAGGACCAACTAACTGTCGGAAATTTTGGTGGATATGACACATACGGCGAGAGGTAATGTTAACGTAAGCATGTAAGATTTTGGGGCGAGCAAATAAATGAAGTGAAGGGGAAAGAAACATTACATTTGCAATGCACACCAACACAGACAGACAGGTCAAACATCGCGAAGTTAGTCATTTAGTTATTTTTGTTATCTGTTCAATCATACACTACGTACAAATTTCGAAATCCATAGCTTTTATCCAGTATTCCTATTTCACTATCTATCCTATATCCTCCATCTTACAATTCCTCATTCATATAGGGAATTAATCTCTCCATTAAATCCTCCACTTCCAATTCTTCACCAGCCCACATTACTCCACCTGGAGTCTTGGGTGGGATTAAGACCGAGCTCAAAACATGAATAACGCCATCCTTTGCAATGCCATCTTGGACACTAACGGTACTAAATCCATTAATCTTGATAGTGATTAAACCGCCAAATCTTCCAATGTCGATGCTGAGACTCTTGTTTTCTAACAAGGTAGGGAGATCGACGTGGAAATGCCCCTTGGGGATATCCGCAGCATCGATCTCATCAACAAGGTTGAGGCTCTTATCATCTGACTTGGCTTTGTAGAAAGCATCAGAGTAAAGAGTTTGGTTTGCAACGACGTGGTATTTGAGAAGGGCTTTTAGATACTTTTCGCCGTATTTGCTGAAGAGGAATGCATTGATTTTAGGGCCAAGCTTTTGGAATGCCCAGTTGCTTGGTGCAAATAATGTTCCTCCTGTGTGTGGTGCTGAAGCAATAGAATCGAAGAGGCCTGTTTTTTCGAGACCGAGCTGAAGAGTTGAGAATTCGCCCGGAAGGAGTTCAATGATTTTGAGAGCTGGAGGAGGTGGGAGGAGAAGTGAATCGACGCCGTGAATTACTCCGTTTGTTCCGAACTATGGAATATTAGTACTATGTTTTTGAATCGGGATAGATGGTGAGAAATACAATATTGACAGCAACTACTCTGCTGTAGAAATTGACAGCCAACCCTTTGAGACCTAGACCAATACGAAGACGTTGAGGCTCATCCCCAAGACTACTCTCATCCAATGTAGTTGGAATAGTGTGCGAAACGAGGACACGGCCGGCTGGATAGAAGTCTGGAGATACATGGTATTGGAGGACAGCCTTGATCAATTCCTTCGAAGGTTTCTTATGGTGATCTGGGATCTTCTCAAATGCTTCATCAGTCGGTGCAAATACTGTGTAGTTGGCCTTTGTGCCATTCAAAGCATCAACAATATCAGGATATTCGTTGATGAGCTTGGCAAGCTTGGTAGTATACTTGCTACTAGCGATTAATTCGTAGACAGTTCTATTAGGCTTTTCATGACCATGATGTGGATTCTTCGGATGGTGCGGGTTTCCGTGGTGGGGAGGCTTCTCGTGAGGGTGATCAAAGATATCAATATCCTCGACAGCAGAAATAGCAGAGTCTAACCAGCCGGTTATATCGAACTTTGTCATTGAGTGATGACATTCAATGACATTTTGGGCCTTGCCGCCAACCTCGGAAAGGCTATCGATGGCATTGTCGAAAGCATTCCCACTGAATGCAACTGCATCTTTGAAGGATTTTTCGGCATGGGAGAAAACATTGTCTTTAGTCTCTGAAATTTTATCGAGCCATGTCTTTGAACTTGTCTGAGATTCAGTGATGATCTGATTGGTAATCTGTTCATCAGGAATAACGAAGGCAGTAGAAACCGCCGCAAGGGGCAAAAGAGTAGTTGAGAACTTCATACTGAAATAATTGATGAGGAAAAAGGAGAGATTGGGCGTGGATCTAGGGAGATATGAATATAAATGGAATGATGACCAGGGCCAAGATACTAGTAATCAATGACGCCTTCTCTGGCTGGCCGCGTAAACACAGACAGCTTTTCTGATACGAGGCAACTCGGCTCGGATTCAATTAGTTTCCGAAACAGAAGAATATGGAAATGGATTAGCTTGAAATTGTTGATTCGATCTGAAGTAAATGTTGAAGAGAAAACTACGGAGAATCGGAATGAGATACAGAAACCGAGTTAATTGATCTTTGATATACTTCGAATACCTCTTAAAGAATGAATTTCTATTTGTTAGACAGTGGTCGAAATGTCGCAATTGATCCACGTATACTTACAAGAGAGGGGAAGAGACCGAGGTGGTGAATGGTTGCGTGTTTTCTTTGTAAGAAGACGAAATCCATAACATCATCGATCCAAAGAGGCGTTTATGCTGCATTGTTAGTTATGCAGCTTACCAGCCAATCATTTTGGTTGTTTTGAATCTACCCCTCGACCGGAGGTTACAAATACCGAAGGACAAGGCGTAAATAAAAGTCCGTGGAACTGTAGTTAGTAACAAAGTAGCATTTTGTGTACGGAGCAGAAAGGTTGATCGGCAAGCGGCAGACTTATAGAAAAGATTCTTATGAAAAATCCAAAATAGGTGATAGAGGAATGAAACTCAGAATTACGGGGCTCAGTAATGCAAATACAGTTTTAGCTACCATGAATCCTAGATATATATATATATCTCTCTTGCCTTCCCCACGCTGCCAATTGCAAAGTCTTGGTTGCAGCTGATTCCCGTCCCATCGTCATCGAGGCGATAACGATAAGAATATGGAATTGTGGGGAATGCATCCACACCCTCTTCCGTCAACATTCCTCGCATGTAACCGTTTATTACGACGGGTAACGATGCATTTACGTTATGTTGAGCTCCATCCAGGTTCAAATTCCAGGTTCCAGGTTCTAGCTCAGATCGAAATCGACACGAATCCCATAAAGTAAAAAAGACCTTGATCATTCCAAGCTTGAGCAAGTCGAGCTTCTCAAGCTCCTCATGCTTCAAGTTTCGAAACTCCACTTAAGGAACAGCTCCACAGCTCAGGACCTCATACAAGGTTACGAAACAAGCTTTTTAGCATCCATTCCGGAGAACCACTATGATACTTGGCGGAGTCTTTCAGTTACTATGACCTACAATTCCACAATGTCATGTTCTATAAGCCATGCACGTGAATATCAATTGGACAGGAAAGTATTCATCAGGTAAAAGAAACTCTTTGTATGTGGCTTTGTGGCTGAATGCTTGCAATTGGGAGCTCTAGTGCTTGACTTAGAATACATCATCGAATGTCGTCATAAAGCTTTTCTGATGGCAGCCAAGTTATTGAATATCTCATGACAATTTATCTATTTACTTATACTCTCAATGTGCTTCATACTCTCAATCTTGCTAACATTAACATACTAATTTCATCCCCTTCGAATCCTGCAATACTCAATATAACCAATTGTAACTTTCTAATTCAATTTGATCACCATGTCTCTCGCACGCCATGTGAGTTAATCCTCCCCTTTACTATCAAATTTCAAGCTATTTTAGACTAACCAAATCTCCAATTCAGGTCGACCCAGATGAGATTGTTGATAGTCTTCAACATATGCACATGAAAGAAGCTGGTAAAAAGCATCTACATACCAAAGGAGGAACCTCTCATATCACCCCATACTCTACTAGATATGCTTCCCAACAAGAAATATCCAAATTTAAAATACCACAAGACGGCGCACCCGCTGATGCTGTTCATCAAATCTTGAAGGATGAACTAGATCTTGATGGTAGACCTAACTTGAATCTAGCGAGGTTTGTTTACCCGTTTGATTTTTCAGAGAAAAGAGAAATTAGTTGACAATTACTAATTTCACCACCAGTTTCGTCGGTACATACATGGAATCTCATGCTGAACAATTGATGTTCGAAAATATCTCCAAAAATATGTCTGACGCGGATGAATACCCAGCAATGATGCAAATGCACGCAAGATGCGTTTCCATTATCGCAAATCTCTGGGGAGCGCAAAAGGGAGAGAAAGCGATTGGATCTGCAACAACTGGTTCCTCAGAAGCCATCCATCTTGGTGGATTAGCTATGAAAAGACGTTGGCAAGAAAAACGTGATGCTGAAGGAAAGGATAAATCCAAGCCCAACATCATTATGGGTGCCAATGCTCAGGTAGCTCTGGAGAAATTCGCCCGATACTTTGAAGTTGAGGCTAGAATCCTGCCAGTCTCTGAAGAATCAAATTCTAGACTTGATCCAAACTTGGTGAAAGAAAATATCGATGAAAATACCATTGGTATCTTCGTCATTCTAGGAAGCACGTACACCGGCCACTACGAACCAGTTGAAGAAATATCCAAGATCCTGGATGAATACGAAGCCAAGACCGGCATTGATATTCCAATTCATGTCGATGCGGCGTCAGGAGGATTTGTGGCTCCATTCACACATGCCAAAGCTGGTGGTGCAAAATGGAACTTCGAGCTCCCGCGAGTCAAATCTATCAATGTATCCGGTCACAAGTTTGGTCTAGTATATGCAGGCGTTGGATGGATTATCTGGCGCGACGAGTCGTATCTCCCCAAACATCTCATTTTTGAACTCCATTATTTAGGTGGAACAGAAACATCCTACACTCTCAACTTTTCTCGACCAGGTGCTCAAGTGATTGCTCAGTACTATAACCTTATTCACCTTGGCTTCAACGGTTACCGTCAAATCATGGAAAACTGTCTGAGCAACGCCCGTCTCCTCTCCAAATCTCTCGAAGCCACAGGATGGTACACATGCGTTTCTGATATCCACCGCAAGAAAGGCGAACATAAAGCTCAGGGCCGAAGCGCTGCCGTCTTCTTTACCGAAGACGAAACATCCGCCGATTATAACGCCGGTCTCCCCGTCGTCGCCTTCCGCTTCTCAGATGAATTCAAGAAAGAATTCCCACACATCAAGCAAGAAAGTGTCTCCAATCTTCTACGCGCCAAACAATACATCGTCCCGAACTACCCGCTTCCTCCCAACGAAGAAAATATTGAGATTTTAAGAATAGTCGTTAGAGAAAGTATGAGTTTCGATCTTCTAGATCGACTAATTGCGGATATTTGTTCGACGACGCAGAATTTGATTGATAATGATAAGCAAGATTTGAGTATGTTGAATGAACATTTGAGTAAGGGACATGGAAGCGTGGAGAAAAATCATGGAAGTTTGGGTCATAGGCATGGAAAGGGTCAGGGTAAGGGTGGAGAAAGACCAATGAGTCATGGTGTTCATAGGGCGGTTTGCTAATTTGCGCTTGCGGGATAAAGTTGATGAATACCTAGGTACTTTATTGGAATTTATAAAAGTTATTATTCAATACCTAATCAATGGAATTTACAAAGTAATCATCTCTATAAATGATCAGAGGCGTTTTAATATAAATATATCATTTCTCCTATCTCAAACTTTCACTATGATCTAAACATATAATCTCAATAAACTATCTCTCTCATCAAACCCCTTCCCTCTACCCTCTATTCCTCCATCTTCCATCTTCCATCCCCCCAATCCGAACAAAAACTACATAAAACTAAATAACTAATCACCATCTCATCAACTTATTAACTCATTCTAATCACGCTTTATGTAATAAATTGTAAGATCTTAAGATTATATAATACCTACCTAGGTATATATCACCTAATAACCTCACTTTGTAAAGTATATAATTCCAGCCTCGTTCATTCTTTGAGCTTTTAACTACTTACTTAGGTATCTAGGTATCTAGGTATGGATATAATGCGTAATTTAGGTTTGGGTAGGTTAGGTATAACTATATCTCATTTCCATTCATCATGACATAATACGATTCATGATTCCCTGTATGGTTGTGTTTTTCAAGAGGTTTTCAATGTTTGAAGTAGGTATTAGATGAGATTAAGCATATCCTACTATTAATATATTCATATAGTACGTACCAGAGTTAAAACTTAGGTTTAGACCTAGACCTAGAAGAAGGAACAGAACAGATCACTAGCCTAATTTCCCGCCATCAATTTCTCCACCGCCCACTTAACACTCAAGTTCCTCAAGTCACTATAATGTTGACCAACACCTACAAACAGCACCGGGACATTCGTAGCATGAACCATACTAACCAAGGTCCCAACCATATCTCCCACAGTATCACATTTACTAATGATGAAACCATCCAGCGATCTCCCTTGTCCAAAGGCTGCGTTAAAGTTTCGCGCTTGCGCCACTGAATCTGTGCCTACGAGTGCCTCGCCTACCATGAGGATTTTATCTGGTTGAGCGAATTTGGCGAATTTTTCAAGCGAGGACATGAGGCGTTGATCGTTATGGCGACGACCGGCTGTGTCGATTAAAACTACGTCGTAGCCTTCTTGGGCGGCGAATGAGACTGAATCCTTAGCTACGTTTGCGGCATCTTTTCCGTATCCCTTTTGGTAGAGTTCTACCTGGCCACCTTCTCTCGCGGTGAGCTCTTTTAAATTTCGTACGTGTACGGCCAATTGTTCCACAGCTCCAGATCTGAAGGTATCACAAGCTACAACAAGGACCTTGTACTTGTTTTGCAAAAGGAAGTAACAAATCTTCGAAAGATTTGTGGATTTGCCGACACCATTGACTCCGACAATAGACATGACGTATGGTCTCTTTTTCTTCAATGATAAAGCTGGAGGTGAGACAACGGCGTCAATTTCTCGAAGAAGATCAAGAGACGATGTAGGTGTAAGGATTTTCCTTAGTGATGATTCCATAGCTGTCGCAATTCTTGCTTGGACGCCTTAAAATAGTTAGTGACAATTCAATAGTCAATACATGTGCAATACATACTCTCAAAGCTTCCGGTCTTTACCCCTATTAATTCCCGCTCTACACCTTCGCATAATCTCATTGCCGCTTCACGAGCAACATTTTTCCGTAAAAGGTGGTCCTCCATTCCCTTCATGGCTTTATCCAAATCTTCCTTGGTCAAAGTCTTTCCCCCGACGACATTCCTGAATAACCCTCCGATAGCACTGAAGCTAGATCCTACTAGACTAGTTGGTGAAGTCGTGGATACAGCTTTTTTGGCATTTGCGGAATCTAGGATTGAGTGGACCTCATCTTCAAGATCCTTCAATACGAATTGCCCCTTCCCAGTCTTCGAGCCCCAAGAGGTTTGTTCGACTCCTTCCACGGCACCCGGACGACCCTCATCTTCCCCTGAAGTTGCTCCATTTGCAGGTGCAGAATAGTCGAGTGGGGTATCACTATCCTCATCTACCATTCCTTCTGCATCCCACTTCCTTCCCTTCTTTAGCCTAGCCTTCGCGTTTCTAATCTTCTTGTGGGATTCGTCCCCGGATGAAGCATACGTAGGGGTTTGGGCAGCTTTTCTAGCCCTTCGAGAAACCTTTCCACCGGGTCCTGCTTTCGCGCTCAATATATGGCTCGCAGGTGTACTCGGCCGTGAATTGGGTGTTCCAAGAGGGGTCAATTCGGGCGAAGGGAGGTCTTTAACATTATTCTTAGACTGTCCTAGGAAATGTTAGTAAGTTTGTATTTAAGAGATCCGCTGGCGCATACCTCTCGAGAGTGATCCGGGCAATGGTGGTGCCTCATCATCTGAGGTTGTAGAAACCAGGGGAATAGTTTCTTCAAAAGCGGAAGCCTCTGCAACTCTAGCATCCTGATTTAAAGCGTTCTTCTCCAATTCTCGCACTTGTTGGTCGAAATATTCATCAAAAGGACATTCAACAACAGTTGTATGCGGTTTTTTCAATTGATCGCCATATAGGTCCACGAAAATCGTTTTAACGTTATCCACCAGTTTGTCAATCCATGAGAGATGTAACAATGACCGGTACACAACCTGCGAGATAATTTAGTATGAAAAACTGCGGAAATTCAAAAAATTGCGCCACGGGACCGGCTTAACGCACCACGAATATCAAGCCTAATTCCTTGCATGTCGTCCATTTTAAAGTGTGTTGATCGTGTTTAAAAGGAGGATTTCTCGCAGCCGAAACATCATCTGCAACTCCGGCGCCAGGTAAGGTACGTTCTTCGATGAAGACATTCGTAATAAGGCTGTTAATAACCGCAGGGCTGACGGGGGAAAATTGTTTCGACCAGAGTACAACTCCAGAGGTAGTAAGGATCTCAAAGGTATCCAACATCTTGATCAACCGTAATTCGTAACTATCGTAACAATCGTAACAGTCGTAATAATATCTTTGTAGAATATAAATACAACTCCGTACTGACCGCACTATTAAAAGAAGTCCATGAAAGAAGATTATGGATCCAAATGGACACTTTCTTCTAAAAGTACAATGTGAATGCGCCAAGCATCACCGATAAGCTGATAAAGCTCGACTGACTGATAAAGCGGCCCTGTTACTCTTTTATAGCAGCCATCCAAAACTCCAATGCTTTATGGAAATGTGTTCGACCTGGACGCGATTCTCACTTATTCTACGACAACTATACTACATTACACCTCCTTAATATTCTAAGTTTCATAGTATCAACCGGACTATCTACTAGTCATATTTTCTGCAAGACCTCCAATATGCAACGGTCAAATTATGGGAATTTCCCCCCGGCGAACTCTCCCCCTCTCCATCACCCCGTCCCTCAACATGTTTCTACTGTCCCCCAGCTACGATCACCGCCTCCGCCAGTTCCACTGCAACAACATCAATCATATGGAAACCCCTATCAGCCCCAGGCTCCAGGAGGTGCTGGCGCATTCGGCGCATATGGTGGCTTTATAAATGATCCTACGGCGCAAATGGGGTTCCAAGTTGGACAAACAGCATTTAAACATGGAACAGAATATGTGGAACAAAACGTCAGTATCTGAGGTTTTAGAAATGGAGATGAGGTACTGACTTCCCAATAGTTCAATCGCTATGTCAATGTTTCGGCGCTGAAACACTACTTTAATGTTTCAAATGGATATGTTGTCAACAAGTTATTTTTGGTCTTATTCCCATGGAGACATAAGCCTTGGTCGAGAAAACAGTCCATCGGTCCAAGTGGCCAAGAAGGGTGGTTCTTACCTCCAAGAGATGACCTCAATAGTCCAGATATGTATATTCCAGGTATGATTATTGGCACAGGCGTCAAATTTACAAGCTGACCTCCTTACAGTAATGGCACTTGTAACATATATTCTTCTTTCCACACTTTTAGCTGGTCTCAGAGGCGCTTTTCAACCAGAACTTCTTGGATCCACGGCAGGATGGGCATTTTTTATTGTGTTTATCGAAATTCTAGGATTGAAGCTCGGATGTTACCTCCTATCCATTTCAAATGAGTCTCAGATACTTGATTTGGTCGCCTACTCTGGATACAAATTCGTTGGAGTTATCGCTACTCTGGTTGTTAGTGAGATCATCAATGGTGGAAAGGGGACTGGCGGGTGGATTGGCTGGACTGTTTTCAGCTACACTTTCCTCGCTAACGCCTTGTTTTTGGTATTTTCACCTCCTAAACTTTATGTCTACAAGGCTCTAACAGGAGGAAAACAGTTACGATCCTTAAAATATGTTCTCCTTCCCGAGAATACCACCGATGAGCGAGGTACTATGCAAACAGTAGCACGATCGCAGAAGAGCCGAAGGACACAATTTCTCTTCATCTACTCATACCCTGTGCAATTGATCTTCATGTGGGGACTTACAAGAGCGTGATTAAGGAGACGGAAATGATATTTCATTGGTGTATAGAGGAAAGTCAGCGAGTTCAAGGATATTGGATCGCTAATGAAGATGGTACAAACGGGGCCGTTGTGAAAGAGCCTAAGTTGGCATGACGATGCAAGTATGTAAGAAGTAAAGTATCAAAATACCCAATATAAGCGTTTATCGTATAATGGCTCATTAACAATAATGCCAGCAAGTGATGGCTATTTGTTAATAATAGCTGTTGGTTAGTAATGGGAGAGATTGTTGAATATCTTGATTGCTATGAAATTTGACTCTACTTGAATAAGATTAATGCCAACATGGAAAGATTCTCACTGTATGATCATCGCGGATTTCTAGAACCTCAATTGCGTGCTATCTAAGCATTCAAAATCTCGTCATCGCTGAATTGGACTTTCAAATGAGCGCATTTCTCCTCTTGACGTATTGTTACTCAGCGCTTATCCGCATCACATATACCATTTGTAACGCATGATTATGAGGCTCAGCAAAATCCGAGAAAACATCATGATAAAGGCTATTTTGTCAGATCAGCCGAGACATGGCTATTGTGACAGCATTCTGAATTTTTGCATGCTGTTTAATTGCTTATCACACTATGTCATTGCCATGGAGAAGGCCTAAAGTGCGTATCTTAAACGCACAATCCACTGCGTGAGGCGAGAAAACATTGATTTATGAAATGCTAAAACATATTTTAGACCCTCCCCGCCTCCGTTGTTGTCAACGCTCGCTTAATATACCTCTCCCTATTTTACATTTGATTTCTTGCAAATTCTCCACCATATTAAGAGCTATTATACCTGTGGCTTAAGGACTGCTTGGCTTTTTGGTTGTTCAAAATCTGCCCCTGGTTTCCGCTTCTCTTCTGTTCTTGCACTGCAGAACCTCCCTTTGTCAGGATGCGCACTAAAATATAATTGAGCACTCAATAGAGTAGTTATAGATACCCACATAATCTGCGGCACTTGCCCCTTCCTCCTCGAGAGCCTTCCCGTACTATGTTTAGGTGCTAGCAACAGTAAAAATACTTCGGCAGGTGCCAGCCAAAAGCCTCTTCTGTTGTGATTGACTTGTTGAGCTGGCGGTACGGTGCCATGGAGGCGGAAGCCTGAGTACCTGCAGCTCGGGTGATCGGTAATGGTTGTCGGCCAATATTCAAAGGCTGGAAATTCAAAGAGTTGAATGTCTCCCGCTCCGTGTGAAACATTGCCGTGACCGCTCGGCCCTGCTTGCTGACTAGATAGTAACAGTCAAGAATTTGTTCACTGCACACTTGATAAATTATACCAAAATTAGTGACTTTAACTTTTCCAGATCCTTTTTGGACAGGGTCCGAGGAAAAAGAACATCTGCTAGCATTTTCTGGCTATACGGGTCCAACATTCACAGGAATATGACTCACTGATCACTAGACACAGCAAGCTTCAGTCGAACTGCGTACAAGTGGCTCATAAATCCTTCACTCATTGATATGCTTGTATTCTCCTAATATAATTCAAAAGCTTTGTATGTGAAGCACGGCCGCTTATCTAAAAATACCTAGGTACAAATGCAGCAGTAAGTTGATCACCTGACTACTGTTGAATTCGTACGTAACAAGGTTGCAGAAGCATCACTCACGGACACAGCAACATACCTCCACACACAAGCTTCAACGGATTTCTATGGATTTATCTTCATATTCACTCACCTTGTTCACAATGACTTCTATCCCTTTACATCTCGAAGGTCTTGATGACTACAAACCATGGGACATAGGTGTACATCTCTTCAACGTCTTCAACGACCTCATTCAACCCACAGCTTCGCAAATCTCTCCACGCGAAGCTGCAGAGAAAATCAACATGCTTTACCCAGATAAAGAGAAAGAGGGTGGTTTGTATCGTGAGGAGACCGCATCGTTTTTTCTCGAGTTGGACGATATGCATGTCAAGCTTGCATCACAAGTCCCCTACCAAAGACCAGAGATGAATAGATTAGTTGAACTATTTTTCGAGATTCGAAAACTACCCTTGTTCATAGGGAGCGGATTGGTCCAGCCACGATTGAGGAGTGGTCCCGTGAGTAGATTTTTGTTTCTATTACATTCCTGAAATTCAAGACTCGATTGTAGGTACAAGACTGACAGGTATGTAGAATACGACGTGCGTGCTATAACACTCCGAAAGGATCAAAATGAAAAACGGTTTAAATTTCGAAACTTATCGAGTTTTCTGGCGCGATTGGCGAAAGCTGGGTTTGAGGACAGTAATATGTTGTATGCACTGACTGCATTGCAAGATGCATTGGAGTATGAATTCGAAGCTTCTAACGCATCCCATGTGCTTTCGAGTGATTATCTCGTACCGATAGCAGCGGAGTGGATCATCATGGCTGGGGAATTAATGCCTTTGAATGGAGGAAATATGGGTGGGTATGCTAGTTTAGGAGGACCGTTGTGGAAGGGTGAGCCGAAGCTTTCTTTGGAGCGGTGGCAGTTTTGGATGCGGAGGTTTGAATTTTTTGCTAGCTGTGAGGCGCTGATGGAGGAGACTAGGGATAGGGAAAAAGAGGCGGCGGAGAGGATGAGGTGCATTGAAGAACAGAAATCTAAGGTTGAGAACAATCAAACAGTTTCGGCGATGGATAGCTAGAGTACAAATAGCCCTCGGTACTTATGAAAACACATCTTTCTTAACCAAACTCTTTCGGTTGTACAATATCTTCGATGTAAAAGTTAGGCGAGGTTAAGGGCTTCGGCTTGTGAGTCACGCTCATATTGCCCAGTAGCGATTCATGGGATAACATATTCTACTGTACTCTCATGTCCATATGTCCATTCTCATACATTCTATCTCCAATGGATAGATTCTAGGTAAAAGAGTAGATTATACTAGAGGATCTAGCTTTCTAGAATCAATCATAGATTTCATTGTAATCTAAGGACCCCTTTTGCGCAATGGCCGTACATCCTAATTCCAGTCCCACCGAAATAACGTACCAGTTAATCAATAATAATAGGCTTTACCGCCCTCCCAATTCCCAACAGCTCATCCTCATCCTCACTTTCTTTATCCAACAAAGCCATTTGCTCCAGTTCCTCATTCGTCTTACTCGACTCCTCAACAAGAACCTTCACTTCACAATCACCATCCACAGTCTGGTACCCCTCCACCTTCCCACAAACATCCATCGCATCACCCAACCCACCATCTCCACCTCCCCCATGCTCATCCCTAACAATCCCATCCGTCTCTTCCATAAACCTTCTAATCCCCTCAAATAACACTTTCGCAACAACAGGCGGCACCGCATTCCCAATCTGTCTCTTAATCCCATTCGGTCCAAAACGATGCTTCAATGGAAATCCCTGTAGACACGCAAATTCGCGATCAGTAAATCCTCGTTTGCCGCTAGGATGCCAGTTTTCACAGCAGCTGGTGGTCATTGTGTGGGGAAGAATGGCGTGGGGACTGTATGCTTTGAGATCTTTCTCGGGAAGGAGATGAGGGGAATGGTTGGCGGCGTAAGGTGGAATTTCGCGCAGGGTTTGGTAAACAGTTTTGAAGGGGTGGGTGTTGGGGAGCGGGGAAGAAGGGGATGAGTGAGTTGGTGGTGGCATTGGGGGAAGGGGCTCGCCTGGGCTGAGGCCATTGTTAGTTAAAGTGTATGAAAGAGGAAGTTTAGTAGAAACTTGCCATGATGCGATAATAATCAAGCGAAATCGTCTTTGTGGAAGTCCCTGATAGGAAATTAGCAAGATGGCCCGCTAAGTGCAGAGCAAGGGAGAGGAAACTTACCCATTGAGCCAATGGCACAATAGCCCACCTTAACGAAAATCCACAACTTGTAAACATTAAAATCAAACTCGAAAAATATCCCCTAAACCTCGGATACAAAATCCCAAACGTCTGTTCCAACGTCACAACCCTCGGTTTCGCCACTTTAATAACAGCAGCCACAGCAAACAAGCTAGCGGTATTCATCTCATCATTTTTCCCCTCTTGTGTATGCGCTGGTGAAAAATACTGACAGGGAGGTGACAGATGCAGAATATCAACTTTGACATCATTAGGAGTGAAGGAGGAATATGGAGAAGGAGTAGCAAGAGCCACGAAGCGATCGGAGGACATTTCGTAGCAAGTTGCGTAGGGGAAATTGAGACGCCAGGTTGTGCACGCATGGGGATCAAAGTCAAAACCCCATTTTACGCGGAGACCAGCCATGACTGCGCCGCGAGTGGTACCACCTGCTCCGCAGAATGCATCGCCGTAGGTGAGAGTTTGACCGGGAGAGAGAGTGTGTGCTTGGTTTTGTGAGTGTGAGATTGAGACGTTAGATTGGACTAATGAAGAGGAGCGAGAGTGGTTGGGTGAGGATGATAGGTCGATAACCCCGACGGGAGATGGAGAGGCTAACTCAGAGGAAGTAACGTCAATTTGAGGCGGAATTGATGAGAAAATGCCGGAAAGACTAGACATGGAGTAGAAATTTTGAGAGTTCCCAGGGCTGCTCCTTTGTGGGGCTGGAAGAGCTCTTACTTTTGGAGGAATGCTGCCTCTCAATCCCTTACATCTAGCTGAGCTACCTGCATGACGAACTTGTCTTCTAGGAGCAGGAAGTTTCCTGAATTTATTGCTTGTATCTACCTCTGAGGAAGCCCCTATGTTATAAGATTTCTCGACATAATCTTTACCATCGAATGAAAGTATTACGCGGCCTAGACGCTGCCTGATCGTTTCAATCCTATCCTTGGAAACTTGACGGACTTTCTTTGCTGGCTGATTATCTTGATCGGAATCTGCATCTGAAGAGGAAGGGAAATCCGACTTGCGCTTGACTTGAATACTGTCTGCCTCGAGCTGCTGAGATCTAAGAGGTGGAGAAGCACCATCATCTTCATCATTAAGAATTATGATTGAATTGGATGGACTTTGAATATGATCGGTCATGGCAGAATTTTGAGGCTGTTCTACTTCGGTTGTTGAATCATCTCCTTCGTCAAGCTCATAGTATTCTGGTACATAAGTACCACCGGGAATCGTTTCTCCACGCCATTCTGTCCTCAATTGCGTGTTTGATACCTGGTGTGGGCGTGGATTTTCATGAACCGATGACAACAGTTCTTCCGTGATTCGCTCTAGAGTTCGCTCTGTGTATATGTTCTGTTCTCTAGCTGAGGCTGAAGCATATGTACAAGAGTATTTCCAACGGACAGTGAGCCCTCCTTTGTTGTACGCATCTTCATCATTTGCAAAATCGTCGCGATTGAGGTTGCGATGCTCAGGGTAGTTGTGATTTGTCCAATGAAGGCTGCGCAAGGCCTTGATAGAGGTCAAGGGTACTTCGACAAGACTTTGTTCTTCAGGCTCACGTGGGTCATCCAAGTCAATCTCGTAACATAGACAGACTTCATTCATCTTCCTTTCCAGCATGCCGTTCAAAAATTTGCATCTCTGCAACCGTAAACCTCGAATCATGATAGAAGAATTTTGGGCGCTAGCGAGACTAGAGCCACGACTATCTTCAGGCTTGACATGCTTCACAATATGCTTGATGTAGACAAAATCGCCGTCTTCTAATTCTATAGTTTTCTTTGGTCTCAAATTGAGATTTCCATGGAGATAAGTTCCACATTCGAAATAAGGGCTAGTGATAGGGGGATTGCGTAATGGATGGAATTTAGGTTTTGGCCTGGGTTTAGGCTTTTCATTTACAATTGCTGAGCGCAAGTAGTCGAATTCGGGCTTTTCAAGAAGTTGGGTTTCGAGCTTGAATTCGAGGTCTTCGCCGTCTTCGATTAGGATTATATCATCATCTGCGCGCAACTGCACACCTTTTGCAAAAGTTATTTCGTCTCCGTCATCGTTGTCTTCGATTAGGAATATTTTATTATCTGCGTGCAAATTCGCATCGTGTGCAACAGTTAATTCATCCCCACGCTCGCCATCCAAAATCGAGACCAAGCTTGTACTCGAATGGCAACGCTCATGTATAGAAGCATGAGAGATATCCTGGGATTCAGGAACCACTTCGTTGAGTGCGTTAATATCACGTTCTCTGTTGGTAGGATGGCTAGAAAGGCCAGTAGGGTCTGACATTTCTTGGTTGGTTCCGGCCTCCGGAGCGATATTCCAGGACCGTGATGATTCGTAACCCACGGCTTGTGGAATTAATCCCAACTGGTTAAACGAGACACCGCAAACCCCGTTTTCGAGGCTCTTGCTATCCTTGACTGTAGGATTACCAGAAGTCACAGCATTCGTCAAGTTAGTGGAAGCGGGATAGGTTGGATGGCTGGCATCAGCAGAACCGTCCGAGTGAGAACGATGTGTCAATTTCTGGAGGCAATCCTCTTCAGACACGGAGTAAGAGGTTCGATACTTGATGGTGACGTCGATGGGAAAGCGTGTTGAAGAATTACTGGGGCCTGTTGAAACCTGTCAGTATAAATATAGCGATGGACAAAAGGATGAGATCAAGCAAAGGAAAAGTAGGATAATCTACCTCGTTCCAGAAGAACCATCTCATCTCTGTCGTCACCTTCAATCATGACCGCATCATCGTCATCAATAACTATTGCCTGATCCATTGCAATCTTCAAAGCCAAAAGGTGAGTTGAATGGGATCCGGCTATGCCAGTAGCTACCTTACCAAACGAATCTGGCGTGCATGTTGTTTCTTCCCATTCAAGCGGACTCCTAGCCTGTTGAGAAATTATCAAGTGAAATACTAAGTCAGGCAGCTTCTTAATCAATATGGTGGATGAAACATCCTTTGAGCCATGAATTTATAGGAAAGCTGCTTTCAATATATGTCGAAGGTGGCTTTGTTGCAAATTGCTGCAGCTTATTTCTCATACTTAGACTATAATACCCTCAAAGCAATGCATTTGATCATTTATATAATGGTTTTATACTAGAATGAGAAAAGATGGAGAAAACCAGGTCAATGTTACATACCTAGGTAGCAAAGGTAACAAAACTGAATGTATCATCTCATTATTGTGAGATGAGAATGATGACAGTTGAAATTAACTAGGACATCTCCGCAATTTCTTTTAACATCACACATTGGCTTTTTGTCCATATGGCTTTTTGTCCATATGGCTTTTTGTCCATATGGCTTTTTGTCCATATGGCTTTTTGTCCATATGGCTTTTTGTCCATATGGCTTTTTGTCCATATGGCTTTTTGTCCATATGGCTTTTTGTCCATATGGCTTTTTGTCCATATGGCTTTTTGTCCATATGGCTTTTTGTCCATATGGCTTTTTGTCCATATGGCTTTTTGTCCATATGGCTTTTTGTCCATATGGCTTTTTGTCCATATGGCTTTTTGTCCATATGGCTCGTTGTACATGTGAACTGTCATAATGCTCATTATGGTACATGTTGCTAGTCACATGCTAGAATTCCATTGTCTGCAAAGACTTCTTGAATGGAAAGAAGCCATCCAAAAGAGCCATGATCCACCTTTGTACCACCAGATGATGATGGGTAAGAAAAAGTGTTCAAAGATGATGGTAATACTAAAGAACTTTCTTGGTCAAGATGTACCAAAAGTTACTACTAAAATAAAGAGAACAAGTTCAAGAAAAATAGATGGATTCTCCGACCTGGTTGATGGAACAGGAAAAAAGAAAAGAGCCCAATAGAAATACATTAGGCTTCGCTCAAATAATAATAATTAAGATGAGAACATCTAGGGCGCCTTTGTCGGATGAAGAGCGAGTTCAAGAACACCTAGGGATTGAGGTAATTCTGGTCTTGTGTTGGAACTGTGTTGATGTTGAGTCTAGTTCGCACGATGATGCTGTACCATCTCCAAGTACCAGTTTTGAATCCGATGCAATTGAACTCAAGCTCCTCAACAGGTCCAACAAACATAGGCATCCTTAATGGAAGTGCCTGCCCCTTTTTCGAAAACACTCGAGGTGTACTGAATCCCATCTCGCCATATGGCTTCCGGTACGCCGAGCATTGAAATCTTTGTCAATTGCCACGGGCGACACGATACATCCGGATTGAAATGCCGTTCATGCACTTGCAGTCTTGCAGTCTTACACTCATCAACAGAAACAAGCAAACAAACAGAAAGATAATTGCAGCCTTGAAAACCAGATTCATGGCCTCCATGCATGAAGAATCCTGGACACTTGTCTCTCGAAAATGATTTTGTTGCACATCGCAACTTTTGAGCCCTGAAGTCCAGGCAACACGGCGGAATTCGTGCGCTGTAATGTCGAAATTTGAGGCTCTCAGATTGTGATGAGTATTCATAGTGTGAAGGTTCCATTCGGGGTTCTAGAACATGACCCCTGATGTTTAAGGCTGAAACCATGACAACGTAGTGTGTGAAGTACCGAGACTTTCACAAACTTAATCCACGCAGCTTAGCTACCTGAACTTACTTCCCTCAACTTCAATTTTGAAACCTGCGATCCACTCTCTCTTCACCATAAAATCTTTCCAGCCGCCGAACTTCCAGAAAACCATGGCAGATATGCGCGCACCACCGAGTCCCACGGCCATGCTGATAGGCACTGCTATAATAGCCGGTCTCAGTGGATACATGATTGGAATCGCGTCGAGCCTTGGATTTTTCCCAATTCCTTTTATGCCCAAGGCACCAAAAGCACGGGGAATTGCTAATTACGATGACGAAGAAGAGAGCGCGGAAGAGGATATTGATGCTTCCATATTAGATCATGCGCCGAATTGGGGAAATGGGTTCGAGGCTGACAAAAGAGATGGATTGAGAGTGATGGAGAGGAGTGGGCCGAAAAAGGTCGACAAAAAGAAGAAGATTGAGGCCAAGCCAGTGGATGACAAGGAGGAATGTAAAATGGTACTGGTTGTCAGAACGGATTTGGGAATGACGAAAGGTATGTAATCTATTCTATTTCCCACCACCTACATTGTACTTCGAGATCTAACAAATTCCTTTCTTCTAGGAAAAATTGCTGCACAATGTTCCCACGCAACCCTCGCCTGTTACAAGACCATGACCCGCAAAGACCCCAATTCTTCGATTCTACGACGCTGGGAACGGGAAGGCCAAGCAAAGGTTGCGCTACAAGTGAAGTCGGAGGACGAATTGGATACTCTACAGGCACAAGCTCTCAGCTTGGGGGTTGTGGCCGAGCAGATTGCAGATGCGGGCAGAACGCAGATTGCGAGCGGAAGCCATACTGTGTTGGGGATTGGTCCGGCGCCAAAGAGTGTTATTGATCAAATTACTGGGACTTTGAAATTGTTGTAGATGAGGATGAGTTTACAAGGTGAAAGATTATACGAATAAGGCTTTTGGAAGGCGAAAGATCTCTTAGAATGGACAATTGGAATTCTCAAGTTTTGAATGCTGTCGAGCGTAAGCTTGAGGATCTTCAAAATGAGGACCAGCATAAGAGGTATCTATTGATACAAGACAGATGATGATGACGATGATGAAGATGATGACGATGATGACGATGATGAAGAGAACATCGAAATTATGATTTCGAGTTATAGGAATATAGAAGCGTAGCATTGCTAGCGTTAGGGATGATCAAGTAGAAAGAGTAGGCTTACAAACGTATTCATACCTATTGAAGCCTCATCCAGATCTACTTATATTTGTCATACATACTTCCATTTTACATTTCATATTTCGAATTTCCGCATGGTGATTCCTCGTGGCGAGACCTCTCACGGGATATGTGCACTGGCGAGTGGTAGACATTTATTATCCTCATTTATAGTTACATCTGATATCAATCAAGGATACATACAGACGAACCTGTATGGGCTTGGTCTTAACACAGATGTCACATTTAGTCTAAATGGCACTTGAAGACCACATTGATGTTCTGAAAAGGCTCAAGGTAGAGCCGTCATTATTATTAAGGCGTAAACGCCGGCTGAGTACATTATATATACTATTCTTCCTTCAACAAACTCCACTAAAGCAATCGCTGTATAAACAGTAGGTTTCCTCTTGCTCCAATGTCTTTCTCCACTCAACTCCGGTCTCGTCTATTATATTCTGATGGTGACTATGGAGGATATTAGTCATGTGAGTTTTCAGTTTTCGAAGCAAGTCTGGTATTGACAAATGCTATGGCGATGAAACTTGGTCGTGGAATTTGAACCACACAGTATAGATCGGAAAATTGAATGGTGTGTTTCTGGGGATAAAGAGTTGCGGAAACTTACTGCCTCATTGCATCCCCATCTTTGCCGCGTTCCCATTTGTTAACTGATCATCGCGCGGAAATTCTTTAAAATACCCGTTAACCTCGTGCTATAGGAAAGGTTTAGTATTGTATGCCATGCATTAAATTGATCATTACTTTACCTTCATCTTCCTCCAAAGCGATTCTATCTTGTTTTTCAGAGGAGCCTTCTTCGAAGACGTGGGCTTTCCTGGGGCAAGTTCATCAACAGGGCACGCCAAGGCAGCTCTTAATTTTTCGGCATGCGTTCGCAAAGCGGCCTTGGACACTCTACGGCTACGTTGTTCATCTCTTAATGGTCTGGTAGGTGAAATTGCTATCAACGAATCTTGACTGCCAGTCAAAGATGGGCTCTTGATGTTGTGGTAAGGTTGGTGAGTTTGCATAGCGGGCTCCGAAGCCTCCGAGCTGTTTTGTTGATCGAAAAGGCCTTTGGTAGACGAGTGATATAACGATTGATATCTTTGTTTTGAAGGAGTAACATTTTCATCATCATAAATTTTTGAGAAGGACGAAGATGTGGCCGCATCCATAGTCCTAAAAGATTGGGCCTGGCTGGCCTTTGTAGCGTTCGAGCTTTCATTGTTTGCTGGGACCTGGAAGAGGAGATCTGATGTCGATGCTGACTTGGTGAAATGCATAACACCGCCACCAGCTGATACACCCGGCTCCTGTTTCAACTTTTGACGAAGAAGGCTACCACAATTCAGACATCCTTTGCATTCGGGAGAACAGCGACGGTGAGCTGTATTTCCTTTAGTGCAAACCGGGCAGACACCATCGCCATTACAGCATTGTGGTACTTCCCTGTCTTCAGGATCCTCGTACACACGGAAAGGCGTTTTGTTTGGCATGATGGTGAAATCGTTGGGGGAACTCCTGAGCATATTTTAGTCGTTTTGACGAATGTTTGATAATAGCAGACCCTAAAGAGGTTGTAAGAATGGTTGGACTTATGATTATGGTGAGGTGGAGTAGTTTCTTGGAGCCGGGAACACAGCAACATGAGTCGTAGGCAATTGAAGAAATTTTCAAGGGTTCGAAAAGGGTAGGTGCGATGCAAATAGCAGCCCCATGTCTGGAAGCAACAACTGGAGGCGTACGAAAGTCATAGATAAACGCAGACACTTTTCTAACAAGCAGCTCGATTGAATCTTTTCACTAAAAACTTTGGTCAATCTATTATTATTTGGAGACAACATGATTGAACTCGAAAGCTAAACATCAATCTCCTGCTCGACTTCACGGGATTCAAATTCACCTCCCAGACCAACACCACGTCCCTATTCCACTAAGGGTATCTTGGTTTTCCACACCAAAAGAGCGGATAATATAAAACACTAAGAAACTATCCATATTTAGGATTCGTTGTTGAACCAGTACTATCATAATGCTTGACTTATACGGAGCAGCTGTGCCAGGCTCAACGACAAAGGTGTAGCCCCCAGGAATCACATCACACTTGAGGTAGGTAGGTATAGTTGGATCTCAATTATTCACATTGGTGAATTGAATCGAGACTTCGACATGTCAAATTTACCATGACCGCAGTTCAATAACTATATTGAATGAATACCTAACTAAGATTACCATCTACAACTACCTACTGCCATCCTTTGCGGCCGCGCATCAATTGAATACTACTTAACTCCACCATTCCGACAAATCTAGGTAAAAGTCTACCGTTATGAGTTGTTGTAGCATATTCCCGTAGCAAAAATATCACCGACGAAGGAAGTCGGTACGACATAGTCCCATCCTGGATCGAGGCCGTTGTGGCTATGTCAGTTTTCTAACAAGGATTTTTCTCATGACAGGCTTTTGGTACCTGTCTCTATGACGCTGCATTCACTACCAACGAACCAATCACATGAGCTGACGCGGATATCTCGACCCTCGGAACATCGCGGGAATCTCTTTATTTGAATGGTTTGCCGTGGCCGTCTGGTGGTCAACCATTTCTACAACCGATAATACATTCTTTTTTGTTGGAGTCATCAAACTATGGCTATTGTTGGTCCTGGCCTTCTTGCAAGTTTTGAAGGATTTTTATAAATTCTGCAAATATCCTAAGCTGCGCCAAGAGCCTTGACATTTTTATATGCACCACGAACCTGCACTTCGACTCCATCACAAAAATGCCTGGCAATAATTCTAAAAGTTCAAACAGCTCAGATGTATCGACAAATCAGTCCCGGAACAGAAGAAAAAAGCCTATAGAAGAAGAATCTAATGAGGAAACATCAATAAACACTTCCAACGATGGTAGAAATTCTTATGGTACTGTGTCGCAAACCACTACACATGCTCCAATCAAATCTGGAGAACAAACACACGGAAAACGGCCTCTACAACGACGGGAATCTGTCATAGAAGAAGAAAACAATGAAGACCTACAAATCGAGATTCCAACTACAGAACCAGAAAAGGAGGGTCCTGTAGCTTGGAGTAGTTTACCGCACAAGAGACAGTTGGCTATTCTTACTTGCGCGAGGTTATCCGAGCCCCTTGTGCAGACTAGTTTGAGGGTAAGTGCTAGATCCATTTCGACTACTTGTTTTTAATTTCATATTCAAGTCAAAATTTATAAGATTTCCAGGGGACATACTAATGCACATGACAGAGTTATCTATTCTACCAATTAAAATCTTTTGATCCCTCACTACCAGATTCAGTCATTGCATCTCAGGCAGGTATCATGGCGGGTTCTTTTGCATTGGCCCAATTAACTACTGCTATGTTATGGGGACGACTTTCTGATCGTTCAGGTAGGAAGAGGGTTCTATTGATAGGTCTAAGTGGTACTGCATTCTCGTGTTTAGGTTTTGGTTTTGCACAAAACTTCTGGCAAGCGCTGGCATTTAGAATGATCGGTGGTGCACTCAATGGAAATGTGGGCGTCATGAGAACCATGATTAGCGAAATTGTCAAGGAAAAGAAGTAAGATGTCGCATCTTTCCTTGAATGTATAAAATACTAACGGTGGTTAGATACCAGAGCCGTGCTTTCTTGTTATTACCAATGTGCGGGAATATTGGAACTATCATTGGACCAATCTTGGGTGGCCTTTTAGCTGATCCAGCAGGAAGTTATCCAAGTGTATTCGGAGGTATCAAATGGCTAGAAAAGTATCCATATGCACCTCCGAACTTACTTAGTGCCTTTTTCCTTGCCTCAGCCTGTCTTGCGGTTATATTTGCCCTTGAGGAAGTAAGTCTTCAAATTTCCTAACTAACGTTAAGTCATGCTGACCTGTACAGACACATGAAATTTATGCTCATAAAGAGGATTGGGGCATTAAAACTGGCCGTGCTATCAAGCATTTCTTCCGTCGCCTCCGCAAGGGAAGTTCTAGTAAAGCTGAATACACTGCTATTTCGAGCACTGGTTCGTCGCCTACTGTCGGTGCCACCCCTATCACACCTAAATCGCCTAAGCGCGTTGCACCTCGCTATAAAAATCGATTACCATTCCGTCAAATTTTCACATATAATGTGGTATGCACACTGGTATCTCACGCTTTACTCGCGTTTTCAATGGGAACTTTTCAGAGCATTTGGTATTCATTCCTTAGCACACCCGCTTACAATCCCTCGCACCCTTCCAAATCTCTTCCCGCAGACTACACCCCACACCCACCCCTCAAATTCACCGGTGGTATCGGTCTTCCACCTCGCGATGTTGGTCTTGCCATGTCCATTCTAGGCATGATCGGTATAACCATGCAACTATTCTTGTATCCCATAGTAAACACACGTCTCGGCACCATCCGCAGCTGGCGCATCTTTCTCCACGGATTCCCAATCGCCTACACCCTCGCCCCATTCCTCTCACTCATCCCCTCCCTCTCTCCCCCACCATCCCAAAAAACCGGCCCTCTAATCTGGACCTCTCTAACCCTCGTCCTCCTCATCCAAACCATCTCCCGTACATTCGCCGGTCCAGCAACCACAATCCTAATCAACAATTGCTCGCCCCACCCATCTGTCCTAGGTACGATCCACGGTATAGGTCAAACAGCCAGTAGTGCAGCGAGAACGGTAGGACCTGCTCTTGGGGGCTATCTTTACGGAGTGGGATTAAGTAGCGGATATGTGGGATTGGTGTTTTGGGTTTTGGCTGGTATGGCGGGGGTGACGTGTTTGGCGAGTACGTTTGTGAGGGAGGGGGATGGGCATGAGATTTGGTTGGAGGGGGATGAGGAGGCGGAGGAGGAGGCGAGGGTTAGGAATAGGGAGTTGGGGTATAATGTTTAACCTTTAGTGGAGGTGGAGGTGGAAGTGGGGTGGCTAGAGGATGATATAAGATTACGATATTGGATATAGAAAACGAAATTGGAGTTTGGAGGTTTTGGAGATAAATACAGTACCCAGGATAATGATAATTACATATTATATATTTTTACAATACATATCTGGAATGAATTACATCGTTTAAGATGATTCAACCTAAGATTACATAATCATGTATCTCAAATAGTCTAAAAATTCCAAATGGTGTAGAACTGTGCATTATTGAATATATGTTAATTAATGGTATTCATAAAAACGAAAAATTAACCTAAAACGGCATTTCTCTTATGTTGGCAACCAGGCCATACATAATGAAATTATCCATTTTTCCTCCCGTGCTATCACGCACCACGCCGAACGCCCCGTTATGCCCCGCCCCTACTGAACTTAGTCGGTATTCCAATTCCTGAATCCTTAGTCCAATATGACTGATTAAGAAGTTCCTGTTCCTTCGCCCGTAAATACTAGAATCATATGTATATCCCCTTTGCTACGCTCAATAGTCCAGATATTTCATCCTCATGGAATGTTAAGGCTTCCTTACAAAAACCAGGGGTTCTGTGGTATCGAACTCGTTCCTTAAACAAACTGCATTCCCTGCTGCATTGGAAGATTATGCGATGATTGACCCGGAGTCTGTTGTTGCTGCTGCTGCATATGTTGTTGTGCAGCCGCATTGTAAGAAGGAGGTACTCCATAGGCAGAGCCCATGTTCATCTGATTCAGATTGATATCATACTGGGCCTGAGGGGCTCTCCAGGGCTCTGCTTGATAGCCTTCTGTCTCGCTTGTAATTGCTTCGATTTCTTTAGCTTGACGACGTTTGTAGCCCCAGAATAGAAGAGGGGCGAAGATTATTATAATAAGGAGTGTGCAGGCTAGGAGTGCGTAGTCAAATTTAGGGTTAAGAGCAAGAGGGAAGCCACTGTTGTTGTGTTAGGTAGGGTATCATGGAAGTACAGTTTGAGGATACTTACATAAATCCGTTTATGATTCCAGCTGGGATGATAATACGACCTAACCAGACGTGGATAGGGGCGAATTTGGTAGGCGTTGAGGTTTTCTTGTACATTCGGTGGTGGAGGAAACCAAGGATCCACTGTCCGACCATGGCTACCACAATAATGAGGCCAAAGATCTGATGTCCGGATTTGAAACCTTTCGTCTGTAATTTGTATTAGAGAAGCAACCTTGAAATCAAGGAAAATAAAACATACCCGATTGTAAAGTGTGCCCATTTGAGCACCTATTCCAAGACCTATGATGGCAATCATAAGAGATATAGTCTGGTTGAGAGCATGCCATCTGGGACAATTAAAAAACCTCAAAATAACTAGACCTAATGGCAAAAGGCCTACGAATACCAAAACCATCAAGACAGCATGGGCAGCCGACGAGACATTACCATCCGCTTTCTCGGAAAACTGGGAAGAACCTTTGGAATTCGAAGTTGGGACTGCAGGTACAGCTGCAGCGCCTATCGCTTTCGACAAATCCATGGCAAAAACTCCATACGTATCATGTCTTTTGATATTGGCATGCAACGAATTGGAATTTATGTTTCCCGGTGGTCCAGTGGCCCATATGAAGTTTGCCTCCATATTTGTAGGGCCTATGGACCCTCCTTTCCACGAGGTACAATTCCGACATCTCCCATTCCACGTGAAGGTATCGTTGAAAATTCGTGTGCCGGCAAAAGCTTCAACCACGATATCCTTGGTATGCGATGGTTCATTTTCACCGGTAGCTATTCGAGGACTGAGAGTTACATTGTTCCCCGTCGAATCGGCATACATCATAAACATGAGGGAGTTTTTCATCTTATCTGATCCCATGCCCACAGCCTATGTTCATCAGATTAGACGCATTGATTTGTTTGCTTGTGTGGGTATTTGAACTCACAATCCAGGAGCAACTGCTCGGACCTGATATGCTGAAATATAAATCATTGTTGGGATTTTTCTCTGGTATGTTCAGAGCAAATGAGATGCTGTCATCTTTGGCGACGAATCCTGCTGTTGCTGATACGGCATTGATCATGGAGAGAGCAAGCGATACTTTTCAGAAGGATGTCAGTGGGTCTCACAAAGGATGATTGGTGGGGGAGCTCGGGGCTGTCAAGTGCCGAACCGAAGCCCTAGCATTTTCTACATACCCGCTGCCGTTCCCAAAGTCATTCGAACCATAATTAATATTTGTTACTCTGAAAAGTTATCTCGTCGTCTTTTTTTTGTCTGATTGTTTTTCATGTGGAAAGAAATATGATAACTCGAGTACCATGAAGAGGCGAAGGTTCAACTTATTCTTTTTCTACTTGTCTCACACCCTATTACAATATGTGATACACTATATATGGAGCATATCTATGGTCAACAACGCCCTATGTTTGCCGCCGAGGTGCCAAATTTGTCTTCGAGCCGCCGTGATCATCAACCTATAAGAACACTTCTCAGCCCACCATGTCAGGAACAGGAAACACTGCGACTATTTTGCCATCCTGGCTGATTTGAAAGGACATGTATATTATTGGATGACCAAAGAAGGTATTCCGGGAGAAAAAAAAAGCCAACTGCGTACCTTGATGGCTATTATTGCATATCATTCCTAATCTACACCTCGTAATGATGTCCGTGTACAAATGTAGCATGCATCGATTCAATGCAATGCGACGGCAATATCTCAATTCGATTATTAACAGGATTTATTGGGGTTACATAGAGCATGGAAGTCGGATGATAACCAACTCGGCTTTTGTCTCTATGTAGGTATCGTTCTTGTCCCAATTTTCGATACTCCATCGTTAATCACGGCATTCAGATTGTATCCAGCTCGAATTTGACGCTCTAGCTACGATTTGATATCTCGATCTTCGAACATTATGAGATCTATTATTTCGCACGGTTTTACTCTCTTGCCTAATTTTTAAGTTTTATTGCAGTATACTTCCAAACGCGCTATCATATTTTTCGCATCCAACATTGTTATCGTTCATGCCTATCCAGCCAGTGCTGGAGACCCACAGATAAAAAGTTCAGATATTTCGATCATATTTACGCACCAAATGGCAATAGTTTCTCTTCGATCTAATAATTCTTAACTTTTAACAGGGAATCTTGGCAGGTCTTAAGGCTTAAGCTCCTCAATACACTCCGTTGTCGACCCTTTAGTGCAGTCACAAATCAATGCGATACTAGAGACAATTGGCTAGGTTTTTATTTGGTATTTTCAGTAACCAAGCCTACTTTACTCACTCGAGAAGAGGCAAAGGGTATTTTGCCGAAACATACCGTTCGTTTGTTGATATTGACCACCACCATGAAAGGATATAGGTTGCAAGGTGTCAGTGAATGAACACAGTCAAATTCTAACTTCCTTCAAGATACTTGAGCTGATCTTCCGCACCTCAATTATGGTAACTGGATGATTATATCATCACGTCGCCAAATTGGCCGGCTGAAGCTTACGTGGTACAAGAAACAGATGTTTGCTATCCAAAATCCCCATTATAAGTAATGCTAGACCTTCCCATTGCCATGCCATTTCAATCTCCACGCCTGAATAAACTATATGGCAGGTGTTGTTCGAAGTAAGCACTATTTCCATGACAAGTCAAGATATCAGATAGTCATTGTCAATCCCTTAAAGGATTAACTTCTTTTGCTCGTACTATTTAGAGACAAGATGCCGATCTTTCTTCAGCTGACTCAAGCTCTCAGGAAACCCACCCACCCACCAAAGATCACTATGAACGAACAGTCCACCACCAATACCCACTCAAAGTCTTAACCTTCTAGGTCTCCAGGCCTGCGCTCAAAAACTTTTCCTCACCTTCGTTCTCACTGCTCTGGGTAACATGGAGAATACCCCATCCATCGAAGCTGCGTTTGAGTTCTAGTACAAGCACCATAAGACAGTCGCCTTCATAGCAACAGTCCAACATTGCTGTTAAAAAACCAGTACAGTTTGCTTTATACTTGACTTCCTGTTTGCCATTGATATCGGACCTCATAAGCAAAAAATAGTCAAGGCAGGAGACAATGGCACGCTTGTCGAAGATGGTATTGCTTAGTGAGGGAAGTACGGTGCAAGGCTAAAACTTGTCAAAAGATAAGCAGCGGGCGGCAATTTCATCGAGGAGCATGGTGAAATGAGCGAAAATAATGAAAAAATTGGGGATAAAAGTTTAAAAAACGGTTTCTGGAACCACGGTTGATGAACTCTTTGGCAGAAAAAGAGACGACAGCAGCGATGATCAAACGTTATATGTTCACAGTACGAAATCGGTGATGAAAATTCGAGCTGCAATGGGATCAATTGATGCATATTAGTATCAACTTCAGGATTTTTAGCCGAAAAAATATAAAGAATCGTTTGGGTTACGCACCCTTACTAAGTCTCAGCATCTACGAAAAGCTGTCCTCATTGAAGCCGCAAATAGTTACTCTACAAAAGAGCTCTCCTTATTTTAATCAGCCTGCCAAACTTCTGGGCGGTAGCCAGTGCTTTCTTGGTCGTTGGCTTGGCCCAGCCCAGCTATTTATACAACCGGGACGTGTCGTGGCAAGATTGAACTTTACAGTACACCGAAGCTTTGGTTGAAGTGAAGAACGGAGAAATGCAAACTTGAACACCTGTAGCAGGTAGAAATGAATGGCTCACGATCCCATCAAAGGCAAATAGGCAGGCATAATGCTTTACTTCACGAAGTGGGCTGTTAAGAATGCAGTCCATCCCAATATTTGAGGGCTGAATGAGGGAAAGTTAGGGCATTGTGAATGCATGAATTATCCACAGAAATCAGGTACTTGTCTTTGTGCACTCTTTTATTCTCTCTGCAGAAAGCCGCGCTAATTAACCTCGATTAATTACCTATCAGTACTGTGATTAGTAGTCTATACAAGTAGGGTTTCCCTCGGTCTTCTAGCTTCAGCCTAAGATTACAATGACTACTACGAACGATCAAAATAGTTTCTTCCTTGTTCGATGTCTCAGCCTCAATACTACTATACCGAATTTCTCTCCGACGACTTTACTGTAACCCTCCTTTGCAAACCCCCAGGTCTATGAAAGTGGTACATGGATGCTATCACATTCGTTTCGAAATGCCATTATCCAAACCTACGAGCGATTGTAGATGATAAAACCCACATGAACGGCCACTGAAAAGCTGTCCAAATTGGTTCCACATTCTTAATCAGGATTTAAGTGATGAGATGAGGTAATATAATGCTTTGAGGAAAGTATTGAGGTATGGAATGGATAGTCATCAGAGGCAGGGCGCTACGGGGCAAAGCAGGAGGATTTAAAGACAATGATATGAGAGGGGTAGCTAATCTCAAGCACCTCGGTGAGCCAACTAGCAATATGCTGCCATGATTGTGGCTAAAAACCAAATTAGCACGCAATATTGTATCTTAGTTCACATATATCTCCACTAATCGTCGCCACGATGTATGAAACCAAGTCGAGATTTGAACTATTTGCATAAATTAATTGAGACCAAGAATCCGGGTTCTCACCAGAGTTAGACAATAAACTATACAGATGTAGCTATACAAAAGCGTTCACCGTAAAGGTTGCCAAGTTGAAGCTATTCCCGAGAATATAAATAGAACTTCAACCAATCACATGCTTGCACCTCTCCTAGAATTCTAAGCAGCGACGAGGCAAACCGAGTATACATATTGAATGCACTCCCTGGCAAGTAATACCACCAACTAGAAGAGCTGCAGAACAACGCCCTGAGTTTTGTAGGAAAGTAGGGCGTACAAGCGTTCATCCAACCTTTTTGTGGCAGAAACGGGCTTGTTGGTTTCTACGAATGTGGCACTTTTTCTACTGGCTCTGGAGATGTTAATAATTGTATTGATGGTACACTAAAACCACCAAACACCATTCATGCATAATACAAGGATTAGAATATGACTCTTAGAGCTTGGGCTCATGGTTCATGAAAATTTAGGCATTTTAATTCATCAACTCAGTTTAACTTACTTTTCTTCCTTACCCCACACGTCGTCGGTATGGTATTGCGCAAAGCTGTTACCTACCTACAGTAGCACCTTCATTCATATAAATGTGCTAAATCTGACTTGAGTCCATGCAACAAACTCCTCACCTAGTAAAACTTGCGGACCATCTCTAGTATTTTTCTGTTGCCTTTTCGTCTTCTTCCTTCCCTATTTTAATCGACGACTTCTCTTGACTTTTTCATCCTTTTTACTGTTAATTAGCTTTTCGAATCAGTCAGTTTATTTGCAGTATGCGACCGAGTTCATGTCAGTGCCATCTTATCTTTCCCTCATTGCCATGGTGATACGGTACTAACTAAATATCGGGGCACAGATAGATCTTGATATGCGTTGAAATTCATTGATTGCGACGCGTCGACAGCCTTACTCTTTTTTCCCCAGCGCGCCTTGATATTTTTTCAGTTTATTTAAAGCTCGAGTCCCTTTTTGCTCAAAGATTCCTCGAGTTCGTCGCATTCATCCCAATTGCAACTTAAAAAGATTGGTACCTAGAAAAGTAATTCCTGCCGCAACTCTACGACTCCGGGCTCTAACTTCCTCGATGCGACCTCTCCTTGTTTGGGCTTTCTGGCAACTACCTTCCTATGGCTGCCTCCCACAGTACGACGATTCCGAATACACCAGATCAATATAGAATCAACGGTATCAATAATACAATTGGGAGAAGGCAATTGTTCGGAGCATGCAATTTTAAGCAGTTGGATGTTGGCATAAAATGTGGATGTTATGAGTTCTGGGGCCAATCTCAAAAATCTATAGCCAACGCGACATTAGAGGATGGAGGGTTGCCTAGAGCGGAAGTCTGCGCGTGTGGGCATCACTTTTGCTTTCATGATCCTAAATCTTCCCAGCCAACAGAGGACCAGCGATCGCGAGCTTTAAGTAATGTCTCGGGTCTCAATGTGGATCCTATTGCTCGTAGGGCTCAAGTGAACCATCGACCATCAACTCCACAAAATATGAGCATACCTGAGAAGGGCAACCCGGATGTTGCTCGACGGAGTAAGAACTCGAACTTCCAAGAAACACTTCAATGGAGCCGATGTGTACAGTCTGAGACCAACCCAGAAGAGATTCCTCCAATTCCATCGCAGTGCTTTTTACCCTCAGAGACTGCTTCAATGACCTCGAGCCAGGTTAGACGGCCTTTTCATGGCTTGGGCCTCAATACCTTGAGTCATATTCCACGACTCAATACACAAGTACAAGCTGTTCAACCAGGTAAGGGACGACCGATGCAGGCTTACAAAACCTCTGATGGTCGGATATTTCATGAGAGCCCTACGGAGGTGTTGACAATGACACCAACTTTGTTAGCAACCCAAGATTTGCTATTTCAAGGTGTCCCGGACGAACAAGCTATGGATAAAACGCTAGCAAATATTAATATCAGAGCTCAAGATGCCACCCTACCTTTACACCCAAATCGGTCGCCCTCTCTCCAGGCTTCTGAGATTAGAACTGCACTAAATGGTCAAGAAAATATTGTCCTGGATAATCTCGATGGGCCCAATAACCTCCTCATTCCTAGACTTCGTGAGATCGTTACAGATTATCCAGACACCAAGCGCAACCATGAGGATAGAATTGACGCTCTTGAGAATGCATCCTTCTCGAACACTGGTTTTGAGGAGCTTCAAGTGGATATTATTAATTATAATGAACGTGTCTATGAGCTTGAGAGCAGAGTAGAGGAGCTCGAAAAGGCTAATGCTGTAGCTGACGAGAGCAGTATAGGTACCCATAGAAACCTGAATGGGTCATTCGATTCTCAGGCAAACAAGTCACCCTCTGCTCTCGTATCGAATGAAATTGACCGGTCTAATCTTGCCTCTCGTGTAGGAAGCCTTGAAGACAGACTCGCTCGCATAGAAGCCATTCTTCCACCATCATGGGCTCGACCTTGGGAGATTGAGGTAGTTTTCCTACCATATGGACCTGACATGATGGGAATTTGGTCTACAAATCACTCAATGTCTCAACGCTCAAGGGTCAATAGTTGCGCATCTGAAGATTGGACTCAGACCCAACAGAACTTTTTGGCTGCTGAGCAAGCCTCACTTTGTGATCAAGATTATTCTATATCCTGGGAGAGGATATTGGAGAAGAGTGATATTGACGATTGTACTCTTCTTATGCCTAAAGCTTGTGGCGCTGCCAGTACGATCAATGAACGATTAAAGAGCAGGGGTCTAGTGAAGGTGGTACAGATCAAAGGCCCTGATGCTCGAGATGTACAAGTAGCTCTCATGTCAGCGTTTGGAGATCTTCCCAAAACGCTATCTGAGGATATTTATTCATCCTCTAGGCATACGCCACCTCAAATTCCTGCATCTATGGAAAACTATCTTGGACTACGCGCTGCCTGGATACCACTGAGGAAGTTACATAAAACGTCAACCTTAAGATTTTTAGACCCTTCAGAGATGGTCACTCCTGCGTTGTGGACTGTGCCATTTCTTTCTTCGAGTGTGGCTATGCGTACAAAGAATATGCGGAGACTTTATGTAACACAAGCAGATAGCTATCTTCAACATTATGTCGACCACCCATCAAGATGGACTTGGCGTAAACTACGTCAGCTACCTCGAGTTCATGATGCAGACGCAGCAGACAGCCATACTCCAGAGGCTGATGCAGCTGAAACTTGTTGGGAGTGGGATGAACGTCTCGACCCAGCTGAGGACGATAGCTCATTCTCCACATCTTTGAGTATTCGACTGTCCCAAGAGGCCGAAGATGCTGAAATCGAGCCTACTTCTCCGTCAGACGGATCCTCCGCTGTCGACACACCTGTAGAATCTTCTACGCCAACTTCAATCGGAGTTTCTCGAGTCCAAGGATCATATCCTACCAAACAAGATCGGCATCCGTTCAAGCCACTTCGTACGTCTTCCATGTCCGCTCTTGCTCCACTTGGCACATCCCAGATGGGTAAACGTGGGATTGGCTTCTTCGATCGTGATCGTGAACCACAATCATCACCACTTCAGAAGATTTCCAATTTGAAGCGTCGCCGTACTTCAAAATCACCTAGTCATACACATGATGCCTGGAGCAATGGCCCTCCTAGTCCGGGGCCTTCTACATTGCAAGAGATTGACCTCAAGAGAGGGATCACCCCATCCGCATACGCTACACCTTATAGCAATGTTCCTTATGTTGAAGCGAACTCTCGTACTAAGGGCTTCCCGATGCAGGAAGATGAAAAAAGCATGACGTATGATACCAAAATGGAAGAAGGCTTTGATGACGATGCATTGAGCGACGATGGCGCATCTGATCATGACCATCAACCTTATGATGTATGGGAAGGTACGGCTGATAATGTCCCACACAAAGATTCACAGTCAAGTATCAACGTGAGTTTGGCTGGCCTTCGCCCACGAGAGTCCATGGTTGATGATGGAGATGAAAGTGATAGTACTGATAGTACTGATAGTACTGATAGTACTGATACACCTTCCGAATATCCAAGCACACTACCAGTTGGTAGTTATATTAATAAAGGAAGCTTTTTTGATATCCATGTTGATGAAGATTTTGAGGATGAACTTGGTTAAAACAATAAAATGATCTGACGAGATATGATCCGATGAGATGGGAAAGATGAGGGTATATTATGGTTTTTTCATTTCTCAGATAAAATATGGGATTTCTTTGAAGTTATTTGAGCGTAGCGTGGGTGCATTGGAGTTTGTATAGGTTATATGATTGTTACTTTGCTTGTCTTTATAGTTCTTGGAATCTCTTTTTGGTGGTGGTGGTTTCTTTAGTTGAATGTGGGATGTGGATGGATGGATGGGAAGAATACATTAAAGATATGAAGTCGAGATTCAGGTTGAGATTGGGATCGAGATTGAGACTAGGGGAAAGATATTATAGATGGATTAAATCGAATGGAATGGATTGGATAGGATAAATGAAGAAGACAGATAAAAGTTAAATGAAGAGGATATAGCTCAAAGCAGTGGTAAAAATCAAATTGGAAGATCAAAAGATGATTAATAGATTTATGTATAGCTATATACATTTTATTATATTATTATATGGTATTGATTTAATTGATTGTTATGATACTGACTCTAGTAAGATTTATATCTTGATTTTCTATAATCTGGAAGTCAAAGAGTGTTATACAGTGGGGTGTGTAGAGGTATATGAACTCTTCGAACTCCTTCTATCAGATATAAATATTACTGCCATCTATCTATCTATCTACCCATCTACCCATCTAAACATCTGAATATTTAAATATCTACACCATCTACTCACTTTTCTTCCTCCCATGAATCAACTCATAAGCATCCTTCCCATTCCCATTCCCACCCCCAGCCCCATCCAAAAATCCATCCCTCAACGTTAACCCCAATCCATCACTCCTCCCCCCTTTCCCTTTCCCAAGCTCCATCACCCCATCAATATCTCCAACCCTATCATCTATAATAAGATGCGTCTTTCCACCCCCCGAAATCATACCCACAGGCCACGCGAAATTTTTTCCTAACTCTTGGCCTGCTTCTGAGGATGTGAGGTATTCTACTAGTGCTATGACTATTTTTTTTGGAAAGGAGGGGGGTGGAGTTAGTAAGTGTTTAATTGGGGGTTGTGCTTGCTTTTTTTTGTGATTTTGTTGTTTTCGTTGTTGTTGTTTTTGTTATTTTCTGGGAAGGGAAAGTTTGGAGGAGTGGTTTGGTTTTGGGGTAGTGATGCCAAGAGTGCAGAGAGATATTTTTTTTATGTATAGAGAGAGAGAGAGAGAATTCTTACAAATATAAGCACCAATCCCCGTAAGAACATGCCACCACCCATGTAATTCCAAAACAAAAGACCACGGTATACCTATGGAACGTTTGGTTTGTGTGAGGGAGGCACAGAATGTATTGTCGATGTTCCAGAGGATGAAGCCGGTTATGAAGATTACTGTTGGGTGGGGGTTTGGTGATTAGTTGGGTGGGAGATGGAGGATGTGTGTGGATGGGATGGGATGGGTATGGGATGTGGATGGGGATGAGGATGAGGGGGACATACCACCACCATATGTAACTAATTTCTTGACTTGTTTCTGTACTAATTTATCTGCCACGCGGAGATTAATAATACTGCGTGTTTTGATACCTACAAATGCTATTTCGATACCTATTGCTTGTTAGTTACTTATTTCAGCCTTCAGGGTTTTGGCGCGAAATCAAGGGAAAGGAGGTGAGAATGTCATCTTACCGAAAAGAATAGGATGGATTAAAGTCTCATCAGTAATACAATGCCAAGCTATAAACGCAACCATGAATATAAATAAAGAAGATCCGTAGATAACAGTATATTTGAATGATTTATCATAAGTGAATACGCGATGTACGACGGTGGATGTGGCGATTAACATGGAGGTGTCGTCGACTTGGTTTGTTAGTTTGAGTTATTGCGAGTAGTGACTAGTTATTTAAGATGTGGGATAATAGTGGGAGGAGAATATGGGAAGATAGAAATATGGTTTACATACACCATTGTGTCCAGTACTTGTTCGTGGAATGGAAAAGTGCACTGAGGATACCTACTCCTGCGAGTCCGAGATAGGGGAGATTTCGGATAATGGCGTCTTGTCGGTTGGTGTTGGCGCGGATTCCTTTGTAGGCGTAGTAGACTATTATTGTTCAGATATTAGCACTGAACTATATTTGCTATTGAGGAGAGAGCAATTCTCGTGATTTAACACGTGGGGATTCAAGGAAGGGTGATGAGGAGAAGAACGTACGATAAGTGATATTCGTGAGGGTATTTATAAATTCGGCGATATATGTAGTTATGATATGATCCTGATTTTCATCAATTTACTGATTGATGTATAACTTGTATCATCAAAAATAGAGGGTTTGCATACCTCTTCGCAGAAACTACTTTGTATTAGCATGTGAAGTATGAGAAATGGTGTTTGAAGTTAGGTATACTTACTTAGTTTGCGAGTTAATTGTACCCCAGTATGGAGGATAAGGTTCCTCTCTATATGGTATTGATGGTATGAAATACATCCTGTACCAGTAGATCGACGTTGATCGAAATAAATGTATAAACACGGCTGAAGTTACCAGATATGGGGGTTCTGATGAAATCAAATGCAGCTTCTATGTCGTTAATGACTGTTTGGATAAGTATATAGATGAATGCTGTTCAACGAGCTTCAAAAAGATATCCTTTAGAAATCTATGTGTATCAAGTCTTAAAACAGAAAACTAACAAAACTTTTTTCTATACACATATATATGTATGTATCTATAATACGAGATAACTCATCATCTATATACTTCTATCCACATCCGGTCCGGCCAGATAAACGAATCTGGTTTCTCGTATGTCCTGCAGGAAAAGAAAAATCTCACAAGAACAGGTGGAGTAAATGAACGTCATGAGCAATATGTACCAAAGGATGTTGCCTGGATGACTTTGCTGTTGATTGATTGGTACGTATATGTTGTTCTTTTTATAGCAGGGGTTTTGGTTGACATTTTGCTATATGCAGTTGCATTTATAGGTAGGTTATGACGATGTGTTAATGCATACTAGGTAGCTATATGCTGGTGTTTTGTTCTGTTGAGTTGATATTTTATGATAATTATCTAGCTAGCTAATAGTATAACCATGTGAAAGCAATACTGTAAGACATAAATCATTACATGATATAAATTGATGGAAAAATGAAGATATACATTACGTTTGAAAGAAACCCAACCCAACCCGTCTATTATTATTAATTTCATCACCAACCCAAACATCACTCCAAACAAACCTCGCACAGAACTACCTAGTATGTATCGGCAACACCAACCCAAATCCCGAGCACCCACCCAATCAAAGCCCACTCCATCCCGCTGACCCCATAACTAACTAATCCTCTCCTCTCCCAAAAAGCAAAGTTACCTCGGTCCAAAATCCCATCCATGACCGAATCCAACACCTTAATAAACCAATGAACCCCCCAAATCCGGGGAAATGCCCTCCTTCTCCTCCCTTTCCATCCCCAACATCGGAACCGCCAATCTCACAGCTATTCTCGCTACATCTTCACTCTACGCCTATCTCATCGCATTACATCAACATCAGCAGAAAACATTACTGAAAGATCACGAAGCGCGAGAACTAGAACGAGAACGCGAACGTGGGAAATTACAGATACAAGGTCCTAAACAATCAGTTCAGGAGACTTCGTTTCGTGATTCTGGAGGAGGATTCGTCGAAGAACAAAATAGTAGAAGTTTAATTGCGGCGAGACGAGATACGGAAAATCAAGGACGATATTATCATAATACAAACCCAAATTCGAATAGAACGACCACGACCCGAAACAAAATGTCTAAAACTTTTTCTCCCTCTGAAGTGGCGGCTCATAAGGATGTTGAGAATGGAATGTATATTATCATCGACGAGGGTGTTTACGATGTTGCCAGTATGTTTTTTTATTTTTAGTTCGATTGATTAATTCTATCACTCCTATGCCCCTTTTATTTACCCTCATTTTCTCTTCCCATCCAACCAACCCCCTATTCCACAAACCCTCATCCAAACCTACAACATATAAATGAAATACTAGTGTACCTACTAACCAATCTCCCTCTTCTACCAGATTTCCTCGAAGAACACCCCGGCGGCGCCAAAATCCTTAAACGTGTAGCGGGAAAAGATGCCTCGAAACAGTTTTGGAAATATCATAATGAGAGTGTATTGAAGAAGTATGGAGAGAAATTGAAGATTGGGACTGTGGGTGAGAAGGCGAAGTTATAGATTTTTTGATAGGGATATAGATGGAGATATAGATGAAGAGCTGTATGAAAGAGCGGAGAGATGCGCATGAGACATGTTATTTTGCTTTGGGAGTTGGGTATTGGATTTTTTGAGGATGCGATGAAGGGGAAGGGGAGAATTTGTCAATTGAAGATGGATAATGGGTGTCATTGGATGAAGAGAATTGGGGGAGAACAGATTTAGGGTGGTTGTGCATTTAGATACAGTGTGAGATGGTATATTTAGATTGCTTAGATGGGATGCTATATACATACATACATAAGATGCAATTGACTCCACGTTTCCAGAAAGAACAATATATACAGTTTATTTAGCCATACTATCCACCCATCTGTTTCTTCGTGAAACCCAGAGCTCAGCATGAGCATGAAAAGCACTCAGATTTATACATGAAAAGCAGGTTCGTTTTTGAAGACTCATTATATTGGGTATTCCATTACTATTACTATCAAATCCCTAGCATAAAACAAAGGCCTCGCAGCCATTTGTGTAATCCATCCGTCAGCACAGCATATCTCACGATCCATCCGCAAAAGTTGCATCTCCACAATCATAATACATCCATCTGCACATCATCATCATCATCATCATCACATCAAAACCCTAAAACATCAAACCCCCCAACATCAACCCCCCACCTAACCCCATCGCCAACGGCAATCCCGCCCCACCCCCATACCCATCATAATACCCCCGATTATACGGCGTCAACGGCCTCCTATACATACTCCCATACCCATACGGACTCATACCAAACGGACCCTGCGGCCCCGCCACAAACGGATTAAATCCATATCCACCCCCGGGATACATCGTCCTCCCCGCTGCACCAGCACCCGCACCCATAAAAGGTGACTGCGACTGCGAATACGAAGGCGGCTCGATATAAACATCCTTCCCATTGCGATCTTTACCAATGAGTTGGGGTTCGCCTGTGCGAATCGCGCGACTCATCGCTTCGCGGATAGCTTGATGACGACGATACGCAGCGGCTTCTTCTTCCGCGCGTTGATGACGACGGGCTTCCCGTTCGGTGTGTGTGGAATTCGTGAGTTTATCTTTCATTTTTCGTCCAAATTTGTGGATTCCGGTGGGTGCTTCTTCAGTGTTATTGGCGTGTTGTGTAGGGGGTTGTTTGGGATGAGAGGATTCCTCATCTGCGCTTTCGGCTTCGAGGTCTGCGTTGCTGGGTACGCGGTGGACTCCTTGGATTTGTCGGCGTTCGATGGGACTTAGACTGTTCATGTATTGTTCATCGTCATAAGGATGGCGCCAAATTGATCGAGGGGGGTTTTGGGTCGTGTCCACGAAGAATTGATGGTTGGTTTCTGGGTCGAATTGGCGGATCCAGCCGTCGGGTAGTGAACGAGCTTCGTCTTCCATGGAACGACGACTTTGAGGGGGAATCCCATTTCTGGCTCTGTGTGTGGGATTGTTCGAGATGGCGCTCTCGGTGTAGGGGGGTGGTGGGTCGGATGTTGACATGTTTGATGGTTGTGTGGGTTCTGAATATAGTATTCAGTAAGTACTTTCAATGATCGTATGAGATTACTATCGAGAGTTTTTCGTATGATGACTCCGTTCCAAAAAGTGTTTTGATCAAGATTGAAATCGAAACGTCAATAAACAGGTATAAAAAGGTAGACATGTAGTTCATCCATCCTTCCAAACATCGAGCTCAAGAACTTAACATGAGCTTGAATGAGGCGATGCGCCCAAATGACGTCAGTAATCAGTAGTAAGTACTCTAGTAACCACCTACCTAGCCACAATTTGATTCATTATAAAACTTTCCCACCTTACATTTCTTCATAAAAAAACAATCGCACTCGCCACAGCTATAGAAAACAGGGACGTTTTGTTCCGGATCAATAGCATCAATCCCAATACCTGATATCTGTCGCCGAATAGTGGCGGTGCAGCATACCTCCTTACCTTACCTACTAGGTATCTCTCTCTTCGCAATATAAATAATTTCCTTTCCACTTGAAATTCATATCATATGATCATCAATCTTTCTAACTCCCATCCCGCGAACCACTATGGAAATTATAAATGAAAAGATTTGGGTTTGATCGATGAATGAAGTATGTATATGTATCCAGGTACCTAAGTATCTAGAATACTCTTGGAATATAGATACCTACTCCGTACTATAGTAATAAGTAAGTGAGAATCATGAGGTGAGAAAAATGAAGTGATATAACCCAGTTAAACAAGTGCTTGTGCTTGTGCATCGCATCTATGTACTGTAGATCATATAAGCATGTAAGCTAAGAAAACCTAATCTCTCAAATTCTCAAACTCTAATATAGGATAGCAAGCTTCAACCTTGAGTGTAGCAGCCAGGCAAGCAGCGCTGCATACTTCGTTCCGATCATAAAACCCGATGTCAAAATACCTAGGTATCCTCATTTCACAGTCATCAAAGCAAGTAGATCAGACCAGACGAGAAGAGAAATGAGAGAGGTGATAGGTAGTATTGATCGCTGTGGTATCATATCCAAATGATTCCTCCATATTCAGACAGGAGAATCCAAACCCTGCCCATGCACGCATGCACGCATGCATGCATCCAACCTATTCTAATCATAATTCATTCATCCATCCATCCATCACTCCATCCGTCCGTCCCAAACCATAAACCATCGCCAGGTTACCAATCAAGCCTCCAACATAGCATCATCATCATGCGATGAAACCAGTAGAAGAATTTCTATGTACCCCAGAACAAACACATACAATCGCTATACAAATTGGATGCCCATTCTAAAAAGCGCTTGGTTCTTTCAAACATAAAATCATTGTATCCTCCATCCCTTTTGAAAACGCCACATATCGTAAAATCGAACTCTCTTTTCAGACTAGGTCACCGATTTGCAAAACTCCTATCAGTTCAAGATCATCCATAATTGCTAGGATGGTATTGTCGGAATGTGTGAAACTAGTCTCTGAAATAAAATTTCCATATAGTTCTTTTGCTGCTGAAACTTCAGTATCAGCTGGAATAGTGATCCAATTCGTTTTAGGTATCATCAAACCATTGATAGAAGTCGCTGACGAATTCATGTCGGACTTCCCAAGCTGTTTGATGCAACTTGGTGGTATGACGATATCTGTTCCACATCTAACCCAGCCAGATTCTGACCCATAAGCTTTAATGAGGACATCAGCTCCTGTGTTTGGTCCATTGCCAAGATCTGGCATATCGGCGAGACAGATCGCGATGTCAGATACGGTTTGAGTTGCCTTAAATGCAGCACCAATTGCACCACCGGGATGATTTTTGGAAAAGACGGCGGCAATGTCTGAATGGAGTTCTCGTGCGGTAGCTAAAGCGAGAGCATCTCCTACGGCAATGGCCATTGTGGTAGATGTTGTTGGAGCTGAACAACCAAATGATAACGTTTCTGATTCATGAATTGGCGCTGGTAATAAAATCGCCTTTGGTCGAAGGTTAATGATTTCGCAACTTGATCGATGTCTATGGCCAGTCAAAACGATCATTGGAAGTGACGGGTCGAGATGAGGAAGTAAGTCAACTAGTTCTTTGGTTTTGCCGGAGAAAGTTATCAGGAGGATTGTGTCGTATATCCCGATAGCTCCAACATCCCCGTGCACAGCTTCTGTTGCGTGAATAAATATTGCTGGAATCTTGAGACTGCGCATTGTCGCAACGAGTTTCTGGGCGATGTGTCCGCTCTTTCCCACACCGCAAATTACAAGCTTTCCTCTCTCTCCAATTGATTTTTTGATAGCTTCCACAGCATGACTGAATCCATCTCTTGCGACTGGATCAGTGTCATACAGCATTGTTAAGGATGAGAGAGATGTTGCTTCTGTACTAAGAACATGAACTGCTCTTGTCAAGCGTTGATTAAAGGGCGGACATCCCTTTTCTATCTTCGGGGGAGTCAAAGACATGAGGTCGTCCAGTGGGGGTGGAAGTTCGTCGCATGATGTACTAGGAGTTGGTGGTGATGGTGGAGCCGAAGCAGGAAGGCAGGCATGAGGTGCAGAATTGAGAAGGTAGACCTCACTGTTCTGGACGGGGTGATCGTAAGCCATTGTTGATATTTGGAAAAAGTCTAAATTTGAATGAACAGTGCGTGATGCGTGATAGTGTGATATTAAGCTTCCAGAGCCGATTGATGCTAAAGTAAATGTTCAAACAGCTCGGCTGCTTAGAATGACGTTTGTAACTTGTTGAAGAGATAAATGATTCGGGATGAAAGGTCTTGATTAAAAATGTTAGCTAGAAGAAGTGAATGTAGACTTAATAGCTGTTACCTTTCTAGATTTTTTGATGCTTATTATATTCTAGAATGATACTTGGTATTATACCAAACTGATGGGGCTATAGCGTGGTGAGAATTCGGACTAAAGATATTTCATACGGCGGCTCCACGTAGCAGGAATCTTCGATGCTTCAAATAGAAAAAGAAGTGAGTTGATGTTTACGGATCACTGCGAAAGCATTGTAGACGATTGATTGAATATAATAAGGGACCGAACAAGGTTGGTGTAACAGATGTTGTGGATGTACTTGGTGGGGACGTGAGGAAGAGAGGAGGGGTGGAAATACCTTTACTCGAGTTTGTAGATAAACAATTTGCAGGGGTGTCGTGAGGTGAGAACTTAAGAAGCGCTGCGCATTAACAGGCGGCTTAGAAATAATCTTGACAGAGTTGTAGAATCGATGGATAAGGATCCGATTTCCCACTTCAAAATCGATGATCGAGGGGCTCCAAATAGTTTAAAGTCTAATAAGAAGGATATTGCCGTAGTGCTTGTCTAGACGGGCTCTAGCTAGGTATGGAAGCTAGAAAAGAGACAGGAAATGGATGGACTACGGATGGCAGGGGAGCTCAATGGAAAGCGATGGTTAGACTTCCTAAAGAGGGTAGCTCAGTAGATGTAGATGAGGTACCTGGTAGTAGTAGGAGACTAGTAGACTAGTACGTAGTAGTGTCTATCTAAGAGGTGAGTAATAATCGAGTGCATATGTTACTACTAATCAATAATGCTACCTGGGTAGAGATGGTCGACCGTCAACTTGTCAACAGTATCATTATCAACTGTTAAGCCGTTACAGGCAGATCCGAGTCCCAATTTTTATATGTATGGTATGTATGATTTAGCTTCATTTAGCTTTTGAACAATGGCGAATTTTCCGATTCAGATGAATGATTGGTTTTCTTATTCATCGATAATATTAGATACCGGTAAAGTTCGTAAGAAGGCTGGCAGCACGCAATTTTTATCCTTGCCACAGCATTCGGGCCATGCAAAAGTCCGTGGTATACCGGGATCTCTATGGTCTCTCTTTGATTTCTTTGGTCTCTCTGCTTTCTTTGTCCACTATTCATTGTATTTTGCCGATGCCCAGAAACCCAGTCGTTTAAGCATGGCACCGAAATCTTGGTTTTAATTTGCTGAAATAGCCTCACACTATCCCCAAAGTGAATTGTTATAAAGTCATAGAGTCATGATTACAAAGATAAAAGTTGATCTTAATATGCTTTCGTAGTCCGGGGTTTCTATCGATTCCGAGGCACTCCGCACAAAGCCTCTTGTACACGAGTACGAAGTCTTACATGCAGAATGTGAAATGCAGTCAGTACGCACGGAGAATTGATATCAAACCGTGTTAGGCCTATCTTGGACCTCAAGAGATTAGTAGATAGGGAAATAGCCTTCTCTGATAGATCGATCGACCTTAGTTGTCGATAACTTCTATCTGGGAAAGGGTCTTGCATGGCGTTGACTTCTTGGCTGTATATTATATCGGGCTGGAAATCCTCCAATTCTTGAGCGACGCGACTTTGCCGCCTGCTGGTTATTGATGCTTTACATTCAGTTGACAATGATGTATGGTTGTCCTTATGTGCTTTGCTATCACACGTGCAGATGGGATAAAACCCTCTCTCAAGAGTCAATACCTACCCTTTGATGTGGTTAGAATTTTGGGAAACCCTGAAAAAGATGTCCAGCTCATGGTCGATCAAATCTTACCATCGAAGAATCTTTTTGAAAATTGCAACCTCTTAGCTCAAGGTCCAGCGGGTATCCGTTGAGCCTGTTGTTTGTTGTCTTGAGCACAGATATAAAATTTTTACCCACGATGATGAATCAGACCTCGATCATGAAGTATCATACAACTTTGGCATCAACATCAGATGTGAATCTGTCCACAATAATTGCAAGATTGATCGAAGCGAATATTCCATATCCACTTTTGCTTCTTTTTCCTTCAAGGACCCGAAGTTGTCGCAATCTGAATCCTTATCTTTCCGCAATCAAAAACCTTTCTCTATAATCCCGAAGCCCCCTCCTACAGCTCAAGCGGTTCGTTCCCCTTGTCGTTCAGACTTCTTTCGATTGTTAGAACATATCTTATAGATTTGAGTATTCTAGTTACAAGTTGACATGTGTTATTTGCTTCCTACCATTTGCTACATATCCATCGACGTCTATACTAGCCGAGGTTGATTCAAATTCCCTATCGATTTGAAAATTATTGAGTGTTGAAGATAAGATCGGCTTTGATGACACACACAGGGCAAGATAACATGGGTGTGTGATGATCACAAGGAACGCTGTGCGCTATGGAATCAAGTGCCGAATCATGTGATAATGCATATCACATGATTACAAGCCCAAGTTGGAAATGAAGTTTGTTGCGAAGGAAGATAGAGTGTTGATATTGAATGTCGAACAGTTGCCTCCCGAAGGTAATCGCCGCTTTCTACACATCAATAGATAGCATGCAATAGGCAATTCTTGTGCGCGTGGATGGTAATGATTTCTGGATGTTAAGTTATATCTTTGAGGACTCGAAACCCCGAGAACTTGGAGAATAAACATTGTGATCGTTAGTAGATGGTTAGTAGTAGTAGATTAAAAGGATATAAATGTATTGTATACAACACAGTTCGATGAATAGGTACATACCTAGCAGTTACAGCTACCGATGACACACGCGGTAGTAATGCGACTTTGATGGCTATTCGTGTATCAAATAAGACGAATCAATTGGCTCTTTGGGAATCACAAGTAACACTCAAATTGTGAGAGACATGAAAATGCTGTGAGTTCTACTAATGATTTGGCAATTGTTCCTGTTTTTGTTGTTCCTGGTGTTCTCGTCTCATCTATGAAAGCAGTGATACACGGGGAGGTTGCACCGCCAATTCCATTCAACTC